CTGCTCCACCATCGCGGCCGCCGGAAGCGGAACGCGCCGCTCTGTGATGCGGTTCCGCCCTGGACGCGATGTCACCGCCCCGGGACAGCGATGTCACCGCCCTGGACGCGATGGCACCGCCCCGGGACAGCGATGGCACCGCCCCGGGACGCGATGGCACCGCCCCGGGACAGCGACGGCACCGCCGCGCTCCCGCAGCGCTCAGGTCTGGGTGCCACGAGTCCGAGTTAAATCGTTCTTGTCTGGAAAAGAGGAGCGAAGGGGAGTGCTGAGGTGATCGCTGAGGGCTGGAGCACTTCTGCTATGGGGACAGGCTAAGAGCTGTTCTCCGAAGAAAAGGCTCCAGGGAGACCTTACAGCCCCTTCCAGTACCTAAAGGGGACAAGAGCTGGAGGCGGATTTTGGACAAGGACGTGAAGGGATAGGACAAGGGGAAAAGGCTTCAAACTGACAGAGGGCAAAGTGAGATTAGATATTGGGAAGGAATTCTTCCCTGGGAGGGGGGTGAGAAACCGGCAGAGGCTGCCCAGGGAAGCTGTGCATATCCCATCCCTGGAAGTGTTCAAAGCCAGGCTGGATGTGGCTCTGAGCAGCCTGGTCTAGTGGAAAGTGTCCCTGCCCATGGCAGGGCGTTTGGAACAAGTGTTTAATGTCCCTTCCAACTCAAAACGTTCAGATTCTATTACTGACAGTACCAAGAGCAGCCACAGAAACACTGAATATCCTGAATTGGAAGGGACCCAAAAAAATCATTGAGTCCATCCCCCAGCCCTGCACAAGACACCACAAGAATTACAACTTGTGCCTTGAGAGCGCTGTCTAAATGCTTGATCTCTGCCATGTCTATTTTAGCCTGTAAGTCTGGTTGGACAGGTGACAGAGGGAAAGACAAATACAACGGCTGCTCAATTACCATTACTGGATGCTGGAAGGGGAATTTCTAGTGGGTGACCAGCACCCAATGTCTCATAACTACACAGAGAAAAAAATCACAAGTACCTGAGTTGCTTAAAGGGTATCCAGTTGATTTCCCCCAGCAGCGATGAAGTTGGGGTCAGGAGCCCGACACTACTGCAGTACCTGGTGAGCGGGGGGCATCTCAGGACAGCACATTCCAGGGGTGGAAGGCTGCCACCCCCTCGTGGCCCTGCTTCTTCCCCCAGATTTACACCATGTCTTGCTACTGCAGTGAGATACAGGGATTACTGATGTATCAGTGAAGTACATCTCTGTCAGGGGATGCTTCTGTTAATGCCATCAGTGAGACAGCATCACTGTAAACATCCCTTCTCCCTGACTTGTCAGGATGGCAAATGCTTCTGCCATAAAAAAAACACACCAAAAGCCCATACAAGTTGTTAGCTTGTCATGGATGTTAACCTTCCCTTTCATTACTTTAAATTTACTTTTTAGGAGTCATTTGCCTACCTGTGTGCAAACATGGGTTCTCACAAACATGAACCAATTATTAACAAAACTAGGTCTCCATCTTTCCTCCTCCTGGACTTTCCTAGCTATGGTCTTGGATAGCAAAGAGCAGAACATAACATGGTTCTCTTAGTCTGAGCTATTGACAATGCTTTGGAAAGCTGCTCAACCATGCCTACCTATTTTGGATTTTAATTATGCAAATAATAATGCAAATAATTGCTGCTCATACAAATCATCAACTAGACTGAAATGAAAACAAATTCCACAATGAAGTGATATTTAAGCATGGCTGGAATAGCTTGAAAAAAACTGTAACAGAGGCAACATGAAATGAGGAAAAGGGAATTTCTCAACCATCTTCAAGTTTGCCACACCAAGAAAAGTGGTCAACTGGAAACAAAAATTTGCAGTTCATCCAAGAACATGGATCAGACTATGGCAGCCGGTGGGAAGAGATCCAAATACATGGAAATACCATTCACTACACACTTACGCTCCTATTCATGTCCACCTCTTTACCTAATGTGGCTGACATATCAGCCACAGAGAGTTCTCACCCCCCTTGTAGTTAACTCCAAATCACACAACAACTTTAGGTCATTATAAATTAAGATTTCTGAGTAGTTGGGGTTGAATTACCGCTGGTTGAAGCTGCTGCAGTGGAGTAGAACAGAGTTAATTTCTCTTCCTGCATCCAAATGCCAATCTTTCTTCTGTGGCATATCACACTTCCAAAAGAAAACAGGAAAAGGGACAGTTTAAGCCCAGGCAGGAAGTTGGTTTTGAGGATGAGACATTAAAGGACGAGAAATCCATATCTTCCTTATTTACACAATCCAGACACTTCACACCAGAGTACTGAGTGCTGCACCTAAGAGAAGCTTAGAGGGGGAAGGCAGACATTTCCTCTAAGTTCGAATGGAACATAATGGCATTACCTGAAAAATTTTCTTCAGTTGTAGAGCTTTAAGAAGTGAGTTAGGATCCAGCCCCACACTGATGTCTGAACATTGGATGTCCAACAGTGATTTAATCAACCAGGGTCATGTTCAGAGGCAATGAAGAGCAGCAGGTACCTTCACAGGGTTGTCACCTTAGCACAGAGGGCAGGAGCCAGCATCCAGGGGAGCTTGTTTTTCTCCACAGCACTGCCTGCCATAAGGTGGCCAGTTCAGACTTAGATACCCAGAATCTGTTAAAAATGGAAGTGTAAAGTTCTGGCAGTGGATTTGGAGCAAGAGCATGGATTTCACAGCAATTTTTCACCACTACAGAAACACGCAGCAGTTTAACTTCAGCCACAGATACATTCAAAATAAAGATTGACAAGCTTCAGCAATTCAGAGAGAAGCCACCTTCTTCTTCGATTTTCTTTCTCCCTGACTTTCTCCTGGTAAAGTCCCAAAATATCATCCATGTCCATTGCCATGTGTCAGAACATCTGCTTCTTCAGTGTGTCTCTGCAGATTTCCATCTTTTTCCCCATTTTTTCCAGGTTTTACACATCTTAGCCTAAATAAATGAACGTGGCTCCTCTGTCAGGAGCACCACGTGGACACCTCATGGCTGTCTGCTGGCTCAGCCTTCCTGGGTACAGTGCTGGCTGTAGGCACACTGGTTTTTGTCAAGCGACTGCAACATCACTATGAGATGAGATATAAAACGTATGTAAAAGATGGAACATGCACAGAAAACCACCGTGACTGCAAAAACAAATCCATCAGGTCTTCCCCACCAATTGCCAGAGCTGCTCAAAGAAAGGAAGGTTCTGTCAGTTGAGCTGACATAACAAAACCAACATAAACCAGGAGTTGCCCATTCCCCTAGCAGGCAGTGGCAGCATCACAGGCTGGAACAATACACAGCAGGCATTACTCAGTGCTTGTTCTAAAACTAAAAAACGTGTGTCCATGTATAATGCCCATTAAAAAGCACTTGTATCTGCAATACACATTATACTTTGTACATCAAGTTATTTCAATTTTTTTTATTATGACAATTTACATGTCATATTTATATGAAAGAAATGACAGTAGATATTATAACAAAACCATTATGAAAGAAAAGTTACACAATTAGGCCTACAAGCTATAAAATGGCTTCAGGCCCAGCTTATACACAAAGAGTTCTGACCAGACTGTAGTGAGAGACAACGCTGAACAATTCATTAACAAAAATATTGGCACCAGCCTTAACATTTTTTCTTACTTCATTTACAAGGAATACAGTATTTAATCAGTTGTGTACTGCAAATCTAAAAACATTAGCTGTTAATAAACTGCAGTTAACCCTTTGAGCACTATGCCACCATGATTTCCATTTAAAAAAGTTTTAACGCAGCATGTTTTACATGCACGTGATATTACCAGTAGGAGGGAAAAGACAGTGAAAGCACCACCCAATTTATGTGCAACAATAACACTTCCAGTTTTTTCAAGGTATCTCCCCCCCTTCCCACACACACAGTGTGTGTCCCCTGGGTCCTTTCCCTTTGATATTGTAGCAAGTCATGATTGAAGAGAGACTGAAAAAAACAAGGTTCAGGACTCAAAAAATGCAAGGATTAAACTCAACATAAAGAGCTCCGCTTGTGCAACTTTACCGTGTTAATTGTTTAGAGAAAGAAAACAAAAGATGAGGCCAGCTGTGGAAACCATTTTTAAGGAACTCAAGGTGTCTTTGCAAACATACAAACAGCACACAGGAGCAAGACAAAACTGCATTTCATGTAAGTGTATCTTAAATTTTAGACCTATCTGGCAGATTAGTTTCAGTTCTCAAAAGAATACTGGAGGGTAAACATCCACATGGGACACTGAGAATCCCCAATGTCTGTCTCATGGACAGGATCTGTGTCTGTGGGAGAACTACCCTGCACCCAGGAATGGTGACATTATGCGTTTGGGTCAGTCCCATCGTCTCCTGGATGCAGCAGGAGAGCTGTGAAACACAGGCAGGAACCAGCAACTGCACTGGCAAACACAACAGTTTAATGCAGTTAGGGGGAGGAGCATCCTTTGAGTGAATATAAGATAGGAATAAGGTACTGTACAAGATTTTAGAGTCCATATAACGAGTACAAAATAGAAAACTAAACAAGGCTTACAGCTTTATGATTTTGACTTCCTTTTCTACCACTACCTTGAGTGGTAGATTAGTATCTATTAAGGACTTTTATCTGTTCTAACTAACAAACAGTGCACTGTTTACTAGGTCTATCATATGTTTTTGTAGAAGGACTTCATCCCTGTAGAACCACTTAAGTTCTGACAGACTGATCCAAGTTCAGCTGTGTGGGATACAGTAAGAGGAACAAACAAGAATGCAAATTGTGTGGACTCTGACTGTCATCCCTGGAGACAAACATTGTCATAATATTCTACGGACTGATCCCAATTTTTTCTACGTCCACATTGCACAGATGGAGGGACATTATTTATTCCCTCCAGGAAGGAGACATCAAGTACATTTTCCAGTTACTTTGAAATTCAGGATGAGAAAAGGAGGATATCGGGATGATTCTCCTAAATGGAGACCTTCCTTTGGAAATCCAGCCTCTAAAGAACAAGCAACAAGTAGTTTCTAGGCCTGTCCAAGACCTGTCTTGCAAATGGCATGAGTTTGCATACACACTATTCCATTCCACTGCCCTCCATCCATTCCCCATCTCCCCCTGTTATTGGAACAAGCATCCAAACAGCAGGAGTGAGTGACTCTGTCTGCACCTGGGGAACCAGTGAGACTGACTATACACAAAGTGCTGCAAAGTGCACAAAGTAAACCAGCCGAACAAACGGAGCCGCGCCGTCGCTCAGCTCTCCTCAGCAACCTTTGGGGTTGTATGGAGCAACAGCAGATCTACTAGCAGGCACGTGTGCCCCTCTAACTGCAATGCTGTCCCCTCTCCTGCTCCTCAGCTCAGGTGTGGGGCACCAGCATTTACAAAATGATAGTCAAAAACCCAAGTTGTAAGACTTGCTTTCAATTGCAGTTGAATAGGAACACTTTACACACAGTTCCAACTATAAAAACTCATCTACTTTAGAGTGTTTTATTCTTTCCTCCAGAAGCTCTATGCAAAAAAAAAAACCCAAACAAACAAACAAAAAAAAACCCCAAAAACAAATGGATTATTTCTGCTGGACTTTTTTTTAACTTTCTGCCTTCCAAAATTTTAAGTGAGATACAGTCCCTATGCTGTTAGGGAAGGGGAGGCAGAAGAGACTACCAGAAAATGTGATCTTAATCCTGTAAACTGTTACTTAGCCAATATCCTAAACACTTCTATGGAAGTTTTAAAAATACTTAAGGACTTGCAAAATTCTGCTGCCGTATTTCTAGAGATTCCCACACCATATGCAATGCAAAATTTTTCCCAAAGTTACTATTTTGTTTGAAGATACTTGATCTTCTACATATATTTATATATATTTATTTTGTCTACCCACCAAATCAGAAGCATACATCAAATGCAAATACATACCTAGTAGGGTACACCCTCCACATCAGAACCATATTACAAGTCTGTGAATAGCAGTCACTGCACATGTATCAAACCCAATTTTCAAAGCCTATATAAAGCTTTTTTGAATTAGGTGATACAATTCTCTTCGTCAAACCAGTTCTGGGGCAAGCATTACTGCCATGATTTATTTAAATCATTGTATACAAAGTGAATTTAAAAAAAACCAGATACCATAAAAATTCCTTGTTTACTTTTCATAAAAGAAGTTTGTAAAAACACATGATTTGAAATCATTATTTGAAGGTTTAGACTAGAGCTTCCTACTGAAGAAAACTGAAAACCATGTTCTAAGCACCTGAAAACAGAGGTATAAAATGGACCCCCTGACAATGAAGGATTAAATTATTAAACAGTCGTAGCATCTGGATACCAGTGTAGTTCAAATAATAGATGTGAAAAGAAATCAGAGCAAATGTACCACTACCATACAATTTTTCTTTTGTGAACATACATCTTTTGCCCCTCGAGCTTCTCAATTTAAGATCTCTCATCAAGAGTTCAGATACAGCAATTAGAAAACAGAAGTGAACAGAAAAGTCCAACTAAGCAATTACCTCCCATAATATGGAGAGTAACTGAGACACTTAATACAACAAAATCTTAAAGGTGACGCTTCAAAAATGAGCTTTTTTGCAAAAAGAATCTGTTGTTTCTCCTAAATGCTGCTAGACCAGAACAATCTTTTCATTCTAAAAAATTATCAGGAAGATGAAGTGATTTTATAATGCAATTCAGCATGTACAAAATGAAAGTATCAGAAAGTTGATTGTTCAGCAGTGACCTTACTACGGGTTGTTAAATGTGATGTCATTTTCTATCTTATATCAAGAATATGCTCAGGTTTATCAGACTTAAGCAGAAGACAGAGACTGTGGTGAAACCAACCCAGTTAATTCTATCCCCTTTCTGCTTAGATTAACACACCCCATTCATTACTGCAGAGTGGCCCTGCTTGTGTGTTTTTTGTCGCTGAGTCACAGAAGGCCCACACAGGGAAGCAAATAGCCAGCATCTATCTTGGTGGCACAAAGAACATCCACTCCTCCACTTGATTTATATATTCTTCTTCCCAGCAGTGCTACTTAGACTACATACAGAGATCAGCTTTCTTCCCAATCAGATATATACAGAAGAGCTTGCAGGTAAAAAAAAGACAAAGCTTTTAGTAGCAATCATTGTGGAATAAACAAGTTTGCTGAATAAATGCTCTGCATGCTCAGCCAGTAGCTTGTTCTCATTAAAATCAATCCCAAGTCTGTTTCCCATTTCCCATATGGTTTGAAATTTAAGCCCAAAGCTACACCTGAAGATCACTATTCAAAGACACCTAACTTCTGATCTCACATGGAACACAGAAGGGCAGAAGATTGTAAAGACACCAGGAAGACATTTTCACTCTGGAATTACATAGACATATTGTAACAGCATGAATCCTGTGTGATAGCTGGTCTCTTGTCAAAAAATGTTATCTTCCCAAATAGGAGATGATATGTTTTCCACCGAGCAGAAAGCCTTAAAAATGACATTAACACCAAGTTTTAAAATGGTAAAACTTTTCAGAGAATTTTTTTCAGTTTTTCCTTGCACACCATTCCCACTGATCAAAGGAGGAACTCTTGATCCTGTGGGATGAAGCCATATCAGATACCAAGGGTGACTTCTTAGAAGACAGAAAAGTTGCTTTTAAGAAGAGACCTATAGAAAGTACAATTTGGTAACAACTGGCCATTTTTGAAACATGACACTTCTGTTGCAAGCTTCAATGCTCCTATTTTGCTTCCCAGTCTTTCCTGCTTTTAAATTGCTCTAACTCAGTACTCAATTTTTTTCATGATTAGTATATCCAGAATTGCAACTTTTTTAATTTCTTACATACACAAGTACATCCCCACTAAGTATTTAGCTTTTGGAGTTGACTCTACAAGCAAAAATGTTTGATCAGATACTAAAAGGTTCCATCAGACAGCAAAAGAAAATATGGCACTGCCAAAACAAATGAGGAATCGATTACACAGAGTTGATGGATGTGAATCAGTTTGCACTGCAAGTATTAAAAATGCTCAGCAGCTACTACCATGGACACATGGAAGCCTTATGTTCTTCTTCTTACACACAAGTATATTAGAATTTAGAAGCACTACATTTACACATCACCTAGGCGAAGAAAAGCACTAGAGTAGCTTATAATGCTACATATGCTTTCAAGAACTCGTTTTAAGCTTCTGTGGCTCTTCACTACCCCCTTTTAATCATTTTACTGTTAATTGTTAACATCAATAAGGTAGGAAAACATTTAATCTTTGATGAAATCAAACTGCCATGTAGAGAGCGATTTCTTTTTGTTTTTAATCACAAGCTTGCTTAGCACATCAGCTAATGAGCAAGTTCCATCTTTTTGCATCTTTCTGATCCTAGTTTTGTAGCATGATAGGTGCACTGCTGGAACCCAAACAAGTAAGAGTCACGGAGTGGTTCTGACTGACCTTGTGGAAGAAGAGGTGGGGAAACAAAACCAAGACTTTAAAAGGCCAGAAGGTAAGTAAATTTTGGATCTAGGTTTTCTAGAGAGGTATTTAGTAAAGGCCTAATGCTGGTTTTATTGCAAGAAAACAGAAGTGCTTAATAACAGACCAGTAAATACAATGTAATGGAAGGGAATCAGGTGGGGCAAGAAAGGAGAACTCACTCCTCAGTGGCAGCAGCAGTTTTGGTGCATCCATTGCCGGCAATGGACATAAACACCAGTCAAAAATCCAAATCTCAGAGCAAAAGGATTAATAGATGTGACCTTTTAGGATTTCAATGTTTGGCAGATCTGTTTGAACTGTCTGTGTCCTACATATACAAATGCTATAGCCTGCATCTTAATCAGAGTAAAGAGAAAACAGAATGCTTTTGATGTGCCCCATGTTGATTTGGAGGGGTTTTTATTCCTCCATTGTCTTTTTTTCCCCCCTTGAATAAAAGCTTCATATCACTTCATTCCCGCTCAAAAGTTGAGATGTCTTGGAGTCAAGCGTTTTCTCTCAGAAACTCTGCCTTCTCGAAATCAGTTGGTCACATGACAGTTATTAAACTGTATTTTTAAGAAAATTCTAATGGCCAAAGGCCAACAACTACATTCAAAACCTGCTGATACATCCAGGCAGATAAGGTAAAACCAAAACAAAAACACACACAAACCCCAAACAGGAAACCTCCAAAAGGAAAACTGTTCCATTTGTTTACTTCAATTTGAAGTAGATATTAAGGGCATGAATGGACCAGTCATGATTTATTTGAAAATCCCTCCATCCTCTTATGCACTGTCATTCTGTGGTCAATGCTGTTTGTACAAACACATTTTGTTCAGAGTACTCCGACTGCTGATGAAATTCACGTGGCCGGGCAGTGACCGCAGGGTTCTTTTGTCTGTAAAAGTTCGCAGTGCTTACAGACTTACTTGACATCCAGCTTACAGACTTATTTGACATCAATATGTCCTCCCACTAGACACTGTGCATTGAAGGCCATCTGATGAACTGTGCATGAGATCACTTTAGAAATTCATGGCTAGAATGTTTTGACTGTCAAAAACTTCATTACAGTACACTTCACTGTACAAACACTTTAAAGGATGTTTATTAGGAAAGTCTGCAAGTCATAATGAATAGCAGAGTTCTTGTTTATGGTACCTTCTTGGCCTCTAATAATTCTGTTTGCCTCCAGTATTAAAATCAAACTGCTTCCATGAAGGTGATTACTAAAATGAGCTATGGTATGTTAACCTACAACTCACAAAATGCGACAGTACAGACATTAATTTTGCTTTTAACTGTCTGTTAAGTTGTAATCTAAGTTGTGAACATTTAAATATAATATATATCTCATATGAAAAAGCTAAAGCACAAGTGCTTCTGCACCACCCCCCTCCCATCCCCCCCACCCCTTGAGCCAAACCCACCCCAGTTCCGGTTTGGGCCCTGACTGATTTGGAATGCTTTCTTAGGCCACCCATTTCCACAAATTTGTATGCACTCAGGAAATATAAAGTCAAAAATATACAAATCTCTTGTTGTTATAAGGTTTTTGTGAGTGAAATTACCCAGGACCATGGACTTGGAAGGAGAAGGGGGGTAAGAGAGGGAATTTACAGCAATTCATCTTCAAAGTTCAAAACTGGTCACTTCACAGAAAGACTGCAGGACTGGTGAAATTCTTGCTTCTAGAAAGTGATACTGTAGTGGAGAAATTTCTAGGAAAAATAAAACAGCTTTTAATAACTGGCCCGCTGGTATGAGCTACCGTGGAATAAATTAGCACAAAAATGGAAGTCTTATAACTGTTCACTGTTACAGACGTAATCAACAAGGTCAGTCACTCTCAAAAGTTCATCTTCATCTTCCTCTGGCCCTACCGCTTCCTGCCCACTCCCTGTCCCATTGGGCGCCAGGCTGGCGCTGGCTGTGCTGTCCTTGGGGGCCTGGGTCTTCTCGCTTGGCTTGCCAATCAAGTTCTCAATGGTTTTCCCTGGGCTCTGTCCATTGGTGGAAGGCAAGTCCACCAGGCTGTAGTCCAAAGGGCTTTCTACTTTCCCTACATTATCAAAGTCATCTTCATCATCACTCTCTATCCGGTAGCAGTGCTTCTTGGGGTTGTCTTGGGGGGCTTGTGCTGCTGGCAGCTTATCTGCAGGAGCGGGGGTTTCTGCATCGTTGTTCGCATTTTCACACGCGTCTTCCTCGTCGGTCTCAATTCGATTCAGGCGTTTGCGGACAGGCTTCCCTTCTTCCTCCTCATCCTCTCCTTCTTCCTCGGAATAGTCATCTGTACTTCGCCGACGTTTTCGAATCAGTCGCTTTGACTCCTTTGTGGATTCATCATCTTCAGAGTTCTTAGATGTGTAGCTCTCTGGAAGAAGTAGCAGACTTAGAGCCACTAGCAAATCTCAGTGCAACATTTATTTTTCATCTTTCACATACATCAACAAGACAGTTCTCTGAGCACACACATTTCTGTCTCCTTCCCTAGGTTCCCCAGCCAAGCCAAAAGGCTTGCATTCTTTTTACTTTTTAAATAAACTTCTAATGTAGCAAGTATCAACAATTTATGGATATTCTGTTTCCAAGCTGAGGAGGCTTTGGAAGTAGGTGTGTTCTCGCCTGAAACTGTTAACTCCATGCTGGGAATACAGCACAACTCCATGCCTCATCTCTAATACCCTAAAGTATGTGCTTTATTTGCACCCTGACAAACTCAGAACCCAAACAATGTCTACTCTGTCATGTATCTACACACACACACAAAGCTGTACTATACCCCTGCCACTCCCAAATTATATACAACTTCTTCTAAAGTCAAGGAATGCTGCCTGTCACCTCAGGTTTGCTGCTCTTTAATGGGAAGCTTGTTGTTTTGGCAAACTGGAATATTGCCTACACACTGACAGCCTTTACACTGATCTTTGATAGCTGTGATGAGAAAAGATGAAAACTGAAAAATCAAACAGCAAACATAATTTGCTGTCTCTTTGTGATTCCCGTTAGAAATCATGGCAAGTTTCATTTAAAAGGGTATTATTTAATGCAGGTTCAAGTTGATATAGACTATCAGTGTTCCTCTATTTTTAAAGTAATTACAATTCCAGTAACACTGTTACATGTTTTATGATACACTGTGGGAACTATGGGAGAGCCTGGAAAGGTTCTAAATGGTGCTGATTTTAATACATGGAAAGACAATACTAAAAATACCCAAGGAAATGGGATTTTATGAAGTAAAGACAATGTCAATCAGTGAATTGTCACTAGTACTGGCAAAAAAAAGCCACCACAGAGCCTGAGAACAGGCCATATTGAAGATCATGTTTTTGAGATACTACAGACTTGCATCACATACTTTTTCCCTTCACCTAGAGGATACTCTACCACCCTGTAATCTCAGGACAGCCCTTCCAAAACTGAGGCACTCAGGCTATCAAGGACAGCTCATTTTCTGAGTAAGCCTGGTATTCATTGCAACCTGCACCACCCAGCATTTGGAAAGCCAGACCTAAGGTCTGATAAGCCAGGCACCCACAACCCAAAACAGCCAAAGTCAGTGGCTGGTTTTGCAAAAGCTCATTAATTAGCTAAAACATAAAGCACACCAACCACTCGTGGTGTGCCTGACATTACTGAAAGAGGCTTCCTCTGCACTTGGCACAGCTTCTTAAACAGGAGATGAAATAAGTCTGAACTACCAACACATACACAGTCAGGGTACCAAATGCAATGCCCTTCCTTTTACATAAGGCAATCTTTAGAGGCTTGTGGGATGCAGCTTTGTGACCTCTTAAAAGAAAAGTGGTGAAACAGTTGCATTAGTGCCAGTTTTGGAATCCCAACACTCTGTGTCAGGCACAGTAAATTCAGGCCTGGAAATCATGATTAGGGGCAATGATAAATTTGAGAAGTGACTCAGTGCATCATAAAGCACCAGTGGGCTGTTTCAGAAGGAAAGGTTTTCTGAGAAACATCAAGGAACTCTAGAAAGACAATTCTCTGAAATCTTGGAATTATATAACTTTCCCTTCATGCTGATGCTGACATACACCTGGCTCCTGGAAATGCTGGACTGGACTGTTTATTTTACCTTCACTATCTGAAGTAGAGAGCCTGCGTTTATGAACTCTTCTCAACTCCTTCCCATATCGGACACTTTTCTGTGAGCCTTCACTTTCTGAATCTTCCTTATAATTAACTTGTCTCTTCTGATTCCGTCTTGATCTTCTCCTCCTAGTTTCCAGGTAATCATCATCACTGTAATCTGTGTAATCACCACTCTCTGTACGGAACAAAACAGTGAAGTGCATTATTCCATCAAAGCAAAACTGCATCACAAAAAATTAGGTAAAGCTTCCTAATTCAGATAGTTTCCATACAGTGTTTTTGTTGCATTATCTCTATTGGTGTCAAAGACATCTCTGCAAATCCTGACAGTGGAAACAACCTTACTGAATTAGAGTTGATGGTGCACGTTACCAGTGTCTCAGGAGAGTCTGTTCTGCTTTTAAAATTTAAATAAATAGTACTCTACTAGAAGACTTTTAAGAACAGGTAGATGAAAAATGACTGACAAGATGAAACTCCAAAACCTGAGTTATGTAAGTTAACAACAAAAATCAGTTTAATTCAATTGTGGGTTTGCTTAAAACAGAAACCATACAGAAGAAACTTACCATCAATCACAGCTCTTCCTGCACCAGCCTACTGCAGCTAATGTCTTCAAAAATTAAATTTATTTACATCAGTTGAAAACAGCCTCAACCCAACTTCAGCTGCTTTTCACTGAGATATGCCAGAATAATTATCCCAAGATACATTTCCATAAAAGTCACACACTGTTCCTAAGTTAGTGACTGACATGAGTCACAGATCAAAGTGACATCCTCTTTACTTCCTAAAATATTAGGCAAAGAAACAGAGCAAGTCAGCAAGAACAACCAGCTTCAGAAAGGAATTCCATCTCTGGAGACTGAAAAGAAAGCCTATTGCAGGGCACCTGATTTCCTTAGCTCAAATCAAGCTTAAAGCAGGATCCTGCTTTAAGCAGGATCATATATAGGACAATAATGAGAGTAAGAGAAAAATAGAAACACACAGTTAAGATTATACTTTTAGATATATATGGAATGTTACTGGAATCAGTTGATTTTATCACAGATGTTTGTCCACCAGGAAACAAACAGTTGCTCTTGTGCATTTCAGAACAGATAAGCAATCTCTTTAGACTTCTGCCATTACCTTCATTGATACAAACTTATGATCAGTGCAGTGATGCACTGAGGACAGGAAGACAACAATCAGTCTAATCACTCATATAGTTGTCTTCATCTGTCCATGCATGAACCACCTTTCTTATGGAAATCAATACTTCAAAGCAACTTACTCCAACATGTTCATCATCTGTATTCTAGACAGACAGATAAAACACTGGAAAGTTAACACACACTGCAGTAAGTTAACACTCCTATATAGTTAGAACCTTAAATTCACAGTAAGAGTGAGAAAAAACAAGTGCTCATTTACACAGCACTTTGTGTCTCAAATGAAGCTGAAAGGAGAAGGACAGTCTTCAGAGCAAGATGCTGATCTCATTAAAAAGTTTATGTAGTGCACAGGTACTACTCTCACACTTCAAACCATGCCAACAGAAAATGAAGTAGTTGAAGGACAAGTAGAATAAAGTGAATTATTAGGTTCTTCTGTGATGCAAGAGTCCTCCATTACTAAAGATTTTAAGGATCATTCCAGAAGAGAGAGATTCAAGGTGTTTTTCTTTGCTTTCAAGGTACAGAGGTAGCTGCAACTATCCACAACAGTGGCCTCTAAAATCATAGCACAAGAATTTATTTAAATACATAATTACCTAGAAATACCAAGAACCTAGAGCTCAATACCAGTTTCCTGAAAAATACTGACAGCACAACAAGTAGAAAAATGCTTTACAGCAAAGATGACATCTAACTTGACCAAAGCAAGCAAACAAGTTAGTGTCAGTCATGACAAAAACTCAGACTGCTATTCTCCCTCTCTCCAAAACAGTATTTAAAATATCAGATTGCTTATACTCACCAGACTCTCTGCTTGAATTTTCCTCAGACTCTTCGTCTTCATCATCTTCAGAGTATTTTTTCTTGACTGTTTTCCTTCGTAACCGCCGGCTTTGCCTCATGGGCCTGGAGAGGTGTCGCCTGGAGATACGGGCACAGAACTCGGAGTCACTGTCCTCATTTGATGGTGGTTCATCTTCACTTTCATCCAGATTTTCCTCTGATATTACAAACTCATCCTGAGATCTGCTCAAAGGAGAACCCCAGACAACAGAGATAGGTATTACAACCAAAGGATTGAACTAGTACTTGTATTTATCACAAGCAAATGATAAGGATCATTTTATACAAAACAAAAAAAATAAGCAGAAATCTTATAATGAGGAGCAAAGACCCAGAGAGAGATCAAGCTGCCACCTCACTGACATGAGGTTTCAGCTGTGTGTTTGAGATACAGCTCTACAGTGCATGACATAACACAGCAGACTCAAGAGCACATGGAGATAAACAGTGTGTCAAACCAACACTGCCAGTGGCATTAACATAGGACAGATCCTAGAGTGTTCTTATGGTTCACTGCAGTGTAATAATGTCTGCATAGCAGTAACTGTGGAGGGGAAAAACATCGACCATGTTCTAGCAAAGGTGATCTTTCCTTCACAAACCCAGCATTGTCCCACACAATTTCTGAGAATTAGAATATCATATCTTAACACAAAACTATGTCTCTAATGCAAAACATGCACCTCACAACCTTATGAACTTGTAACATTCCCATAATTTCAAGTGAGCCAAGGCTTTTTAAAAAACTATTGAGCACTGAAGGTACACAGTCACTTGCATTTGGCTGCCAGCCAAATCCGAATTCCAGTGTAAGATCCAGAAGGCCCTAAGCAGAGGATGGAGCTGAAAATGCATGAGCACATTTTAACAGATCAATGCACCATTAATTCTGTTACATTTCCACAAGCTACACTCATTAAAAGGAAATTTCCAGCACATGTAGCTCAATTATTCAGAGTGCCACTGAAATGTCCTCAGCATAGTCACAGGTGAAAAACAAAGCCCAAAACTTGCATTTATCATGTATAGATTTTCCATACACTTAGTAAATTGACTCAATGATTGCTGTAAAGCTTTAAATGTTACTGGTAAAGAGCCTACAGCCTCACGCTTCCTTTATGCTTCTTTGAGGCATAAAGTTTATCTAAAATTAGCAGCTTTTCTAACTTCAGTAGTGGCCCAGACTTATTGATGAAAAATTCAGTGGAAACTGAGTTTCAATCAGCCAGACCAATATTAATTTAGAGTTCAAATCTTCACATGATAAGTATTTGTTTTCTAGAGTATATAAACCACCTCTTTGTTTTCAAACTCTACATCCTACAGAGCAGCAATCAAGAACTAATTTCAGAGTCTGCCTGTCAAGATCTAGATATTCTAAATAACGAAAATTTTCCTCTTCCAATTTCTAAACAACAATCAGAAAAACTGTCAATTTTTTCTAAAAAAAACCCCACAAAAACAGGATTTTTTAACTCTTATTTTTAAAAGGAAACAACCAGCCTCATTTTAGCTGCATTTTTTGTACAGATTTCTACTCAACAAGTCACATCAGCCATAGAAGTGAGCCCACCTGGCTCCTTTACTAACAGAAGCCTGCAGTGAGGCCTCAAACATCCCAGTAACATTTCCAGAATGCGTTATGCTTAAAATACAAATTGGATGATGTCAGCACATGGATCCAGAGTGTAGCTTTTCCAGTACAATGACGTTCCCCTGGGCCAGGAGGACTCTACGGTAGGGTGTTTGGAACTGGGTGATTTTTAAGGTGCCTTTCAACCCAAAACATTCTATCATTCTTGGATTTTTACTGGTACTGTGCAGTACCATTACAGTACTGGGAGCATGCTCCTGATGATCATTTCAGGGGCACTGCAGAGTCTCAGATGCCTGTAGAGGTCAATGAATTGTGGTGGGAGTTAAATTGCAGGCCTACCCATCACTGATCTTGAATTCATCCTCACTCTCTTCTTCATCCATGTTACTGTCACTATCCAAGTCATTTAGTCGCCGTCGTTTCTTGCGTCGTGCTGCAGCAGCTCTTTGTGGTCGCTTGTTTTCCTTCCTTTCCTCCTCTAGGATTGTAGAAATGTCTTTTCCACGGTGACCTGTGATATTCGACATGTCTTTGCCTCTGCCAATGCCTGAAATCAGTGACAGAAAGGGGAAACAATAGCAAGTTTATTTTCTTGTTTCACTTCTTACATATCTTTCTTGCATGTACTCAACTTCAGTTTATTTTCTGTCAAGCAGAATATTTTCTTGTCAAACAAGACTCTGTCCAGAGTCTTGCTCCTGACACACACAGCCCAGCTGTGGTCACTTGGAAATATTATGAAATATATGAAAATATAATAAAAATATGGAGGTCCATGCAGAAGGTCATGGTTAAGTGTCTGCATTCTGATGCTCAACCCCAATCCACATTATTACCATGCCAATGCCTTTTAAGAGGGCAATTACCAGAAAATACACCTTTTTCATAGTGCTGAATACCCTTCTTGGGAAATGAAGGTTTTCAGTTGCGGCTTGGCCAAGAAGTGGAGTTTTTGAAAAGGTACTTAAGTGTTGAGACTTGGTCATTTTTACTGTAATAGACTTTGTGTTACACACCAACAGACACACAGTTTTCAGATTGTCTACATACATCCACAAGCCTCTGAAACTGGTGAGTGTGTGGAGGTGCCAAGGCCAAACAACATGTTTCATGGCTGTTTTCTCCAGACAAGTTAAGAGAAGCACAAATCCACCTCCATCCCTCAGATAGTGCTGAATATCTCTGTTTTGGTCCCAACAGAGAACAGAATTTCACTTTACTCGTGTTCAGCTGAAAAGTGGTAATAGAGCTGGATGAACATTAAAACAATTTGGCACACCCAGTCTTTAGGGGGTCCAACTGCAGACCAATTGGTGAGCCCTTTTTACAGGGGACAAATGTCAATAGTACTGCTGCCATTCCAATCTCAAATCCAAAACTTACTCATTATATATATAAAAACCTGTACAGACTGGATTTAACTATCAACTTTTACTAATTTTCTGACATCTTTTGGCTGTGTGGGATGGCCAGTCCTAAGGGAGATTATTTAGTTCACATTGAAAAATACAGCAGTAAAAAAATTCCTGGCAAACTACAGAGTTTAAAGGAGAGGATTGTCTTTGTTGCTTCTCATACCAAAGTAAATTTGCTCTCCAACTTCTTATCACCATTGCAATGCAAAATAAGTAACATCACAAACATACCTCCTCCATCAGCCTCCTTGATATCATCTTCAATTGCCTCATCAATTGCCTCATCAAATTCATCAAACCTAAAAATAACAGCTTCCATTTACCACTTTGAAGTGAACCTTAATTAAATTGTTACAAAAACATACCTCAAAATCTGAAGAAATTACACTGCACAGACAGAGAGCTGGATACATAATTAAATAATAATGGGCCAGAATTTTAAAAAATGGCTATTTTATAATCAGTTGTGTTTTTTATTTCTATTTGCTTTCAGATTATTTACCACTGTCTGTCTTACTATTGAGTTACATGAGCAGAAATCCCCTTCCATTTTACACAAAAGACGTCTGAATTGAACAATATATTATCTGGAAGTTCTTTAAATGGTTTCAATAGCATTTTTACACAAAGTATTCATCATTTTTTCCACAACTTTATTAGATCACATTAGCTCTACCAACCTTCAAAACAGCCTGAGAATCATCTATTAAACTAATTGTAAAATTTTTTATTCTGTCCACATTTTCATTCAGAACTGACTTCACATAGCTGCTTTCTACTCTTAAAGCTCATGACACATTATGGATCTGCAACATTCTAAGCTGAACAGATAAAACACACAGTACAAAGTTCCTCATAAATCTACATAAACAAGTTGTAATGTAATGTTACATAACTGAATAGGACAAACAAAAGCAGTCTTCAAGTGTGCTTGTCATACAACAGCTTTTATAAAACTGCATAAACCTCTGCACCCTCAGTAATTCATTTAAAGAGAACAGCAAACTGAAGAAAAAAGATACAATACTTTCAACACAAATGACCTCAGTTTGTTTCTTCAGTTATGAATTCAAATTCAATAAAAAAGGATCGTTACCTGTTTGAAAAAATAGATGCCTTGAACTCCAACATGCAAAAGTACAAATTTTATAAACTATATAGATAAGACCTTTTATTTAGATGCAAATTCTTGTTCTCATTCTTTTAAAAGTTATTTTTTTGTATTTTTTTTCAGATACAGACAACTAACAACTGGACAATACATCCATTAAAAATTCCAGTTCTTAGTCATGAAAGAATGATTACAGTTATATTTACCTTGATACTCCACAGAAACCTCCAGCAGTACAAGAAAAAAAATAAATCTAATACCTTACTTTGTATTCCCAATAGTAAGCATAAAGCCCTTTCTCCTTGAAAAATAAGGTGATTGACTTCTAATATTTTTATATTACTTAGGAATGACTACATGCCGCTCTCAAGGCAGCTTTACCCAGCAAGGAAATAACTCTGAAATTATTCCATCAGTAAGATTAGTTCCACATTACTCAGTTTTCTCTCCACACAGCTAAAAAAAAAGGCCCTCTTTAAAATGTGACAAATCACTTAATGCTTTCAAGCCACTTCTAACAAATAACCTGAGCTCAGCCACGAGCTGACAGCTGCTTGTCCATCAGGTGTAATGGAACATAATTTCTTCTGCTGCTGCTTTATTTATGATGCAGGTTTTTGCTAACTTTCTCATGAGAGGACTCAACAGATGGGTAGTACAAAGGGATTACAGATCCTTTAGAGAACCAGGATGCTCCATAATACAGATCTGTTTCCTAGTAGAATAAGCATTTATGTATTATGTAGCATTTATTTTCCCCTACTGTCACAACTCTCCACAACACCAGTGGAACTTCACTGCAGACATATAAATCTGACATGCTGATACATTGAATATTTTCACCAGCTCAAACTTATGTGTATTATGTAGTCTGTGAAAGAGATTATCACTTTTTGTTGGAAGACCGATTCTTCTGAAACATTATATTCAATAAAAATTTACTGCCATTGCACAACGCAGGTCCTGCTGAAGTCGTGCCACACACACCCTCTACAGGCAAGGGGTTTTTTGCTCCTGGTCAGATGCTGCCTGACCTGTCATTAATATAATAGCAGTCTATGTAGTCTTGCCTCTAGCATAACATTCCTTACAGGAATGCTTAATGTCCCAAAGCAGCAATGGCATTTTCATTAGTGTGACTTCTGTTCATTCAAAAACTTACCAAAATCCAACAGCTAAGCAAAGTCAGACTGAGTGTTCTGACCAGGCTGGAAAACCCATGCCTCTACAAACTATGCCTCTACACCATGCCTCTCCTCAGCAGCAAAACCAGGTTGACTATAAATTCAACGATGGTTATTGTTGGAAAGTTACAGTTTTTGATGATAAAGGTCTACATACAGCAATTACTGGAAAGATAGAGGTTTATTTTAACCTTCCTAATGCATCCAGGATAAACCTCCACAATCACTCAGGTAACCAACCACATTCTTTTCTAATCCCAAGGGCGTTCTGCTTGCCTGGTGGACTGAAGATGATACAAAGTGTCACAAGGTATTATTTAGAAAGTAGTTTATAAAAAGAACTTGGTAATACACTGAGAACAAAAGCTGTTTTTAAGATCATGCTGAATTTTGAAAACCTTAGTGACCTATTCTACTTTCAGAATGCAGAGTCAAAATATCTTGCCACTTTCATTGACTAATTGCATTTTTATCACAATTTCTCTAAATGCTTGCATTTTATGTGCACTTCGTGATGATTACATTTTAAATTTCATGCCCCTTTCATGTAAGGAAGATCTACGGTGGGGGAAGAGAGCAAGGAATTGCAGGCCTTTGACACAAGCAGAAGTCTCCCTTGCAAGACAGAGAGGTTTAATTCACCTGCTTTAACTCCAGAAGCTGCAGTCACACTGAAACTTTCTCCAGTATTCCTGAACAAAACACCATATACATTCTCATTTCTTTAATTCATCAGCCCTTCACTATACTACCTCATGCTCTCACAGCCACCAAGCATAAGCAGTATTCAGAGGAAAGAACAATGACATTTTAGTTTGGCTTCTCTGTTAAATGTAAAAGTTTACATGAGAAGTGGCAAGATGATTCAGAAAGGAAACAACAGTATTACTTTTGCTGTACAAGCTATTTTAACAAGCTGCTGACCTGTAGCTTATGCATTTTCGGGTTCTAGTAGATCTCCTTTCAAGTTTCGATTTGGGCTTTTTGGAATCTTTCTTCTTTTCTTCCTGACCTTCAGGTATTTCCGGCTCCTGTTCAGATAAGTCAGAAGTGTCAAAAAGTTTTATCTTCTCCCTCCCTTCATACTTATTATAACTGAACTCATAATACAGATTATTCATTCTGTCTAGAAAGCTCATATGCCCAACACAGCACATTTTAACTTGTCAAATAGTGACCTATTACAGCAGTTCAGGTGAATTTGCACATTTTATCCTTACAAGCTACATAACGTTCCAAATGCAGAGTTTAAGGGTTCAGGCTATTGGATCATTATGTTTATGCTGTAACGCTGAGATCATGGGTGATACTCCCAGGACTAGTAAATGTGGCAGCTGAACAAACTGTGGCCACCACCTCTGCATACTGAGCACAGGGCTATCTTTACACAGTGCAGTTTCAATTAAGTTTCATGCAGGTTAGTTTTATTGTTTGTAAGTTATTAATTTAAAAGCAAAATAATCTGCCCCCAGGCTGCATTTTTCAAATATTTGCTCTCAGCCATAGATTCTTCTGCAAGTTTATAAAATCTGTTATAATTTTTCTGTTATTCAGAGACAGGGAGAAAAACTGCCTTTGTTACATCCAGGCAGAGTTAAAAGCCTATGTTTAAAATGAACGAAGTTCCATTTTAAACTGCAAAGAATGGATTATATAATTCCAGATGAAAGCATTTGTCTAAGACTTCAAGAGACTTGTTTTAAAGTGTATTTAAGTGAGAAGAGGTTGTTCTTCATGTGAATCAAAGCATTTTTCCTCTTTTCTCAGGAGAAACCATACAAAAGCATCTGTTAATGAAACACTAAATGTTTACAGTTTTTAATCACGTGACCTTAACATCCACTCATTAAAAGCAAATGCTATGCTGCCTAGAGATACTACATATTCCCTCTGAATCATAAGTCAGAAACATTTGTTTCCATCAGTTCCAAAGGAAAGCTGTAACAATTACCTCAGACCTAAATAACTGCACAGCAAACACCACAGTTAAATAACTGATTCCCACCTCTATAAACTACTGAGTACTTATTGAGCACTCACCTCAAAACCCAACTGTAATGGGCAGGGAGGAAGTCCTGCAATCCCTCACTGGGAGAGGACTCTGTGTGGCATCAGGTGGCTCTAATAAACACCATAAAGCTCCCTTGGTTTCTCTGCTATAGTCAGTCTAAAATGAAGGGTCTAGAATTATTTCTGATCTGCATATAGATGGATTTTTCTTTCCAAGATGCTATTAGCATCTCTGACACAGTACTGAGAGACTTCTTCCCTGAGAAGTTTGGAAAAATAAACAATAATAACACATAGACACACTAGCTTACCTGAGGTGGAATGATGTTCTCAATACTGATACCCACGTACACCAATCGCTCTTTTCTTGAGGAGAGAAAGAAAATGAAAATAAGATTACAAGAAGTCTGCAGATACCTCAATTAATGCTGTAATTAGCACCATCTCAAGATCTTACTATATCATTAGGCAGAAACATCCCACGAGGAAGTTCCAAGTGAAAAGTTATTGAAGTTGGGATTCTGTGCTTATTCTCATGTGATTACATTTCCTGCATGTATAATGTAACAGCTTTCCAAAGAGTTCTGACAATCAACAGTACTTGAAGATTGTGGGCACCACAGAAATTACTGAATTTGGGGTTTAAAAAGCAAGTAAAAACTGACCAAAAATATTAATGCTGTGATGAAGATTACATTGTCAGATCTGTAACTGGAACCAATTGTGAAGGTGATGAAAGAGAAAATGGGAATTCAGAATCACACTCAACTGAAAAAAATACGTAAAGATACAATGCAATCTAAAATGGATAAATGCCAGATATGAGACGCAAGCAGGAAGAACAAACTCTAGAAACACCAGGGGACAAATAACTGCCTACAGAGCAAATCTTTGCCAGAGAAGAACAGCCTGAGCAAAGACCAGCAGAATCAAACTGCTGCACAAGAACTATGATGACAGATGGATGTGCAAATAGGACAACAGCTGACAGGACACCTGAAGGACACCTGCCATGGCAGTCAGTCCTGTTCACACCTGGCTGGAGCACTCAGAATCATCTGGGCCCTACTCATTCTCCAAGAAACATGTGATCCAGCTGAAGAGTTCAAGACCTAGACAGTAGGAGTTACTGGAGTGTAGCAGACATGCCCTTTAGAGAAGGGCTGAAAAAATAGGATGGATCAGTGTAGAGAACACTTGTCCAAAGATGGGAGAGAGAGGGAAGTACTCAAATACAGGACAGACTCTTGTAAGGAGAAGTAGGCTGTCCTCCTTGCCCACAGTGTGTTACAGGATTAAATCTATGGAAGCAAAATTCAGTTTACTTTGCTTTTCTCAACACAGACATTCTGCATCATATGAATTGCCTTGGGGACAACTCTGGCTCCTGAAGGACACAAGTTTTCTCTAAGTACTGTTGTATCTGTCAGTCTCAACTAGAGATGAATTTCCTTACACTTCACAAACATGCTGACCTTCATGGTGCTGGACTGATGTTTCAAAAAAGCAGTCTCTGAGGAAGAATAGCCAAGTACCAATGCAGACTAGGGTGGGTAACCAAATTCTCATCACCATAGGTCCCTACTAGCCTTTTTCTAGGAAAACAAGGGGTAATTTAAAGAAATTAAGAGCACAATGAAAGTTGGTGGCATTTACAGTCTGGAAAGACTCTGGATTTTTGCACTGAAGTGTCTCAATCAACCAGAATCAGACTGTTGAAGTTACAGGGAGTGCTCGTATGAGTCTGTCGTACTACATTTGAGTTGCAACAGGACACATCATGCATATAACTGCAAAAATACCCAAGACATATATTAACTTTAGATATGTTTACTTCACTGTGTTATGTTTCGCAAATAGAAGCATTGATGTGTAAAAATTTTGTTTCCAATACTTCCATTAAGTTCTAAAGAATCTATGTCTATTTTGAAGATCTTCTGAGTAGCCTTCTGCACTTTCTAGCATAATATTCATAAATAAAATGAACAAGCACTGTTCCTAAAGTAATACTTACAAAGAGTAAAAATGGATTTTATGTTTACAGCTAAAAAGGCCAGGGACTTCAAAAACTTGGTATCATTATGCCTATGTATCCTAATGTAAACATTCCTAAGTGACAGATGAAAAGAAATCTTCATCCAACTGGGTACCATTAGGTTGGTTGGATGAGAAGGAAGGATGCTATGCATAATCACTATGCTCTTGAAAAGAATAATTAAAATAACATTTTAAAGCAAGGAATACAATTACTGAAATGAGAAAGGAACTAGAAATGCAAACATTTTAGTATTCAGCAAGTGTCTTTGATGATTTACTCAACTTCTCATTTCTTGCAATGCAAAACATCAAGAGACCGGAGATGAGAAAAATTCATCTGTTTTTAAACATGATCAGCAAGGTTTTCCAGTTCTGTTGTTCTTCTCCTTGGCTTGAGTATACACTGCTTAACAAATCAGCAAATGGAACAAGACAATCCTGCTGAGGTCAAGGTTTTGAAATGAAATACAAAATGATATCAAATGAATTCCTTATTCCTTGTGGCAGACAGGAGCTCAAGACTTTAGCCAAGAGTTTAAACATTTGAACCAAGACATCTCCAAAGGCAGCACTGTCTGGTTATAACATCTTCCTAGGCAAATTAAACAAAACATGTTATCTCAATTACACAGCAGCAAAAGCCATTACAGGGAAATTATAAAAGTGTGTATGAAAGCATGCACTCCACCTGGTTTGGCCTGTGAGAATTAGACAAGTAGCTTCTAGAGGGATTTTCCATCAAGAAGTCTCAGAGTATCTAACATGGATTAAAAGGGAGATCCTAAAAGGCTCTATTGTCCACTCCATCCAGCTGGTGGTAGGACACAATTATAGAATTTAGGCTGTACATGAGAAAGCTAAAATTCAGGTTGCTGTGGTAGCACCTTCAACTCATGAACAGAAAAAGGAGGGGTAAAGATATTATTTCATCCATGTATTTGTAAGTAACGGGAAACCTGAAGGGTTCATTTTAAAAAATCAGTGAAATAACAGTTTCAGGATGCGCAAGCACATGGCTGAGCAGCTGAATCAGCCTCAGATTCCTGAGAGATGGAAAGAGCACAACAACATCACTACTTCAAAGAGCATGACAGCAAGAGTGGTTCAAAGAACCTACTAGGTAGACAGATACATAATGACAGAGTTGGATTTCTTCTCTTTGCCAAAAAGAGAGACACCAACCACATGTTTCCAGAAACACTGCATTCAAGTATGTCTGTGCCCCAAGCAACCAACCTGCTTTAACTTATACACCAAGCTGTAATAACAACTATCATTTCCTCTGGCATTATGATTCTTCAGTCTTTTTACCTTATTATTTGCTAAAATATAGCATTAAGTTGGAAGACTTCAACATTCAACTACTGCATTATGAAGTCTATCATAACTCAAGCTTATTTCTAAAGAAAAAAAAAATTAGAAACTAAATAAAAAGCTCAGTTTTATAACATACAATATAAAATATTAGGTTCATTTGGTATGAGGATCAAATTGCAAAACAGTTATTAAACATCTGTTTCAGACACTGAAAACTGTGATGATATCAACCATATTTTCTCCTGCTGCTCTCAGAAGATTGTGTTTTTATCCAGCACTGGTGATTTCAAGAAAGCAAGACAGACTGGCAAAACTTCGCATTCCATGTAATGTTTGCCAGCAGAATATTTACCAAAGTAAGTCCAAAAATACTGTTCACTAGTAATGAGCACTTCCACCATAAAGCAAAGCAGCAGAGTTCCTGTGTGTCCCATACTCCTGCACAGATGGAGACTGTGTGTATATGCTGAGTTCACTCATAAAAACAGCTGATAGTTTCATTTCCACATCTACAAATTCAGCAGAATTGGCAATGGATAATTTCACCACAGTATGATCTAGATACACTCTGAGCAGAAGTAGTGACATCAGGAACAGTTGGTACTTGAGCTGTCATTATCATTGCTGTTGCAATAATAACAAACAGATTTGAAGAAAGCTGAAAGCAGACACAGACTGTGCTCCCATCTTCCCAGCACTGACTCACTACGTCTCATGTAATACTACAGTCCCTGCCACAAATACAAGCCTGCACAATTACTTTCTTTAGAAAGGTCTCACCTTCTGGTGAAATTTGCCTTTTAAGATAAAATTCATGCAAAGTTTTGTTTAATAATACATACAGATGTTTTTAAATTCTGCAAAGTATTCAATACATGTCCTAAAATGTATAAATTATGCAGACTGTGTTTCATGTCCCTCATTTCCAGGTCTGAAAACTGCCAATAGAATGTTCCAACTGTTATGGCTGCTGTTCCTAATGCTTGCATTTAGCCTTAGGTAATGGCAGGAGTGGACAGTTGGTGAGAGCAGGGTGGTAATAATGCCAAGATTGTGGGTTCAATCCCTGCACGGGCCATTCACTGAAGAGTTGAACTCAATGATCCCTGTGGGTCCCTTCCAACTCAGAATCTTCTGCGACTCTGAAATTTCACCCACCCACTGCCCTACTGCAATTGCTGCATAATCTTGTACATTAGGCAGAGTTTAACAAAATCTAAAGCAACAACTCTCAAATCCCACAATAATCTGGATGACTTTTGGAGCAAAGTCAAGACTTGAACTTGCTTACAGCATGAACTCTACACAACTGACAAGTCAGCTGAAGCAGTGCTGGAAACCCTTTAACTATTGGTATAAGAAAGTCAAATTTATGTTCAGGCACTTTAACTAAAGTTTAGTACAAATGTATTTGCTTCTTTTTTCTAATTATTGTACTTTTCCTCCCTTCTTGCAAGCTGTCCCAGAACTGAGCCAGCAATAATCAGTGGCAACTAAAAATTGGTCTTAGCAATTCCCAGTCTCATCACTGCTTTTCTCCCCAATTATTTTAATGCTTGCCCGATTATTACCACCCCCTGCACAGCACCTCTATGAGTGCATACAAACAACAGTACCTGCGTTCTGCACGCTCCTTCTTTTTTAAGACAACATCCAGATCTTGTAATTGTTCCTCTAATTTCTCACAGAGTAATTTCTAAAGGAAGGAAACACAGTATTAGTTTATTTCATAACCAGCTATTTTCACATTGAACTAATGTTTACACTCTTCATTCACTCAGTCTGTAACTGGAAGAAGCCTCTTCAGTGGAGGCTCCTCTTCAATGAACAAGGCTTTACAATAAAGCCTGTCTTTTTAAAACATGAGCTCCACCATCAAGTCAAGGTTGGATGGGGCTTGGAGCAATCTGGTCTAGTGGAAGGTGTCCCTGCCCATGGCAGAGGTTGGAACCAGATGAGTTCAGTGGACACTGCAGCAAAAAGCAGAGATACACTTTAGGATCATTTTCTTACCAAATACTCAAGGAGGTGTATACAAAAATTACTTTTAATGAATAAATTGTGCCTTAGAGTCCATGTTAATGCCCTCCTTACACTATTTCCAAGGATGCTCTTCACTCTTTTACATATCACTTTACATACTGAAGACTACTTCAACAGCAGCAGAACAAGGATATGCTATAAGTGTAAAGAAAACATTCTTACATATTCAAAATCATCACTACTAAAAACATTCCTCAGAAGACAACTGAAAATCAACACCAAACAGAGTTATCTCACATCAAGACCAATGTCACTAGCTTACTGTCAGGCAACAGCCCTTTTGGCACAGACTTTCTCTAAAACCAAGAAAGGGGGTTGGGATCAGGCAGATTACTCTAAAAATGTGAATAAATGGTTTCCCTTTAATTTAACAAGAGCAGCATCACACACTTTCTGCTTATACTCCCAAGTACCAACCCCGCTTCTAACCTTGGAATAAGGATTCATACTGGCCTATTACTTGACTAGAACAACCCTGGCTTTCCCAGCAGAGACAAACTATACCCTGAGATTCAGCAGCAGCCTTCTCTAACCAGCTTCTGAGGAAATGTCTCTGAAGAAGGAATAGCACTTCAGAAATAGCTGTTTGCTCTGGCCACTAATCCATCCCTTGTTGCCTACTGCTTCTGTCTCCTGGATGATAAATATTTCTTTTGGGAAAAATTAAGACATTTTATCTTTAATACTATACTAGTCCTGTGATTTAATCAGAGATGGGACATAATCAGTGTGACTGGAGATTCCCATCTAAAAATCAGCAACATACAGTCACGCATTAAAGTCCCAGCCAATCTCCACAACCACAAGGAAAGCTGCAAAGAAGAGTGAAGTCACACAGGAACCGTACATGCTGGCAAGGCGGGCAGAACCACTCTCCATCGGGGATGATCATCAGCGGAGGGCGAAGGCAGGCTGTGTGGTAGCCGCTGTCACACGAGTCACACAACAAAATCTGTGCAAACAAAACGTGTCATGAGTATTTTTTGGCATTCACATGTAACAAGCTCCAGAACTATTTCTGCAGGCAAGGCAGAAGTCTTTGGACTGTGCCAAAAAAAAAAAAAAAAAAAAAAGCCCTGTACTACTTACCTTGTACCACACTTCCAGGGCCAAGGGTGGTTTTTATGGAGAAGTTTATTTATGACCGTTTTCCATGCTAACACCAGATTTCCTCTTACTTACTTATCTTCTCAGTACTTAGTAGTAGTGGCCTATGTAGACAGACTATGCACCTTTAGTGTAAAGGTACACAGTCCATCTGGTACTGCTTTCTGGTAATGCTTTCCAGATCCTAGACAAGTGGAAAACTCCATCTAGACAAGACATGATATTACCCATTTTCCCTGTGCTATCTTATGCAGGAAACCTGGCCTTCTTCCTCAGTCAGGATAATTTTATTACCTGGGCAGCAGGAACAAAGTCTTGCAAGCTTGCAGGGCATCCACAACTAGGCAACTACTAGAAGTTCATACCTAGTTGGGAAAATTTGAGATATCCCTTTCCATAAAACTTGAGAACAAAGCTAGCATAAGCTGTGTGTATATCTACTTAAATATTTATCTCTAACATCCTAAAGGTCAAATTTTCTCTCAGCTATGCCAGGATATCTGTCAAACACCCAAGACTGGGCTTGTTTTCTGGATTCGTATCAGGACTGCACATGATGATCTCCCAGACAAACAGATGAATTCATGATGGTGTCTACCACAAATAAATGAGAATCATGAGATATAGCAAAATCTTGTTGTGCTCTGTTTGGGATTTCACTGTACTCAGTCCTCAGGGTGAGATGCAGCTACATCTAATGACTATGTAGCTATGTGGCTATGCCATTGATGCCTTGGAAAGTAGACATCACACTGCTGGGGTTCTTTCTAATGTTGCTTCCTCTGTATTCACTGCAACTACAAGCACACCCTCAAAGCCTCACCCAGACTGATTTATCAAACGGCTATGGTTACAGTGTTACACCTTGTAAAAGATGCTATTTTTGTTTTGGCAAACAGGAAAAATAACTTCCGTCCCTCTCTATTGAAGGTAACTCATCTACTCCTGAGTTTAACACCTAAAACCTAGATACTCTCCTACAGATGGCCACCCTGAAGGATGATGTACCTGCAGACACCATCAAAGCCAACCCACCAAATCTGACACAACAACCCACAGAAGCTTTTCCCAAAAACCTACCAGCTCAGGATGATTGGGAAGGCCACACTTCTTGCAGGGCTCATCATCATCAGCAGGTGGAGCTTCTTCTTCTTCCTCTTCCTCCTCTTCTTCCTCCTCCTCAGAGTTTTTTTCACTCTCAGAGTCCTCAGTCTCTTCATTACTTGAGTATTTCCACCTGCCACGTGTCCGTGTACCCGTCCACCGAACTTTGCTTCTCTGTGAGACACCATTTCAAAGAAAAAACACAAAGGAAGCCCACAAAGTTTCTTCCCAGATCTTAAAAAAATATTTGTCTCCAGAGTGAAGTGATTCATTTCAGTCAGAACAGCTGCAGTAAATTTACAGCAGAGCATTTGAATGAATATATTGTCTTTCCAAGATCCTTAAAATGCAACCAGATAAAAGGAAAAAAATTGCATCTATGTGCATAAAGAAATTTTCAGTAAGATTTAAAAGTAGATAAATTTTTCTACTCATCCCCCTTTTTTCTATTTTAACAAAGCCAACTGAACATGGTAAATTCCACACTTAATTCTTCTGACTTTTTCATGAAAACTTGCTTCGACCCAAAGAGAATCTTATTTTCTCCCACCTGTTCCCCAACAAGGTTATGCATATTATTTTACTTTAGAAAATGTGTTAGTTTTTGAAATAAGAGCACTGCACCTTTTAAGAGCATATCTTCTGTCTAGGTCTTCTTTCACATTTATACTTTTTCATTATTTTTTCTTACATGAAACATAATTCAGTTGGTGCTTCTTTTCTGCTTATCAAAGGGGCATCTACCCCCTTTTATCATATACCATATAATGACTGAAAATATTTTGAATATATGTATTACCACATTTTGAATGAAAAACAGATTTCAATTAAAATTCAGAAGACTGAATTATTTAAACTACTTTGTGCAAATAATATATTTTAGATTTAAAGCAACATGTCTAACTGAAAAAACTTTTATTCCCATTGACCAGCTTGTTTCTCACACCCGTCATTCTCTCACAGCTTATTACCCCCGCCCCACAGACACTGAAAATGGAAAGTAACTTTTCCAGCTTTTTCAACTCAAAACATTTTTTGGATTTTGACTAAATGACTCACAGACCTGAATAAGTTGAATAAACTAAAATGCACAAAGTTTCTCCTGCAGGATGTACCAAGGCAGTATTTGTCACATTGGCAAAATTTTGTTTCGTGTTCTTAATATCCATTTCTACCTGTTTAGAGATTTTACTCTTCCCTAAGCTTTAGTAGCAAAGGTACTTCAAATCCATGATAGTCTAAGTTTAGGCTACAGATTCATCATACAGCATCACAATTTTTAAGTCAGGTTTTTCTAAGACCCATCTTTAGAAAGAAAAGAAACCCCAAGATATAAAGTAAGCTATTAAAGATCCTGGTATTCTTCATCCTGTTTAAATGATAGAAGCTTAACAGCCTCAAACTTCTTCCTCCATCATAATTATTTTAAAATCTCTCTAGAAAAGTAAACATCTTTAGATGTCTTGATCTTTCACAAATAGAGATCAAGTTAAAACAGTTAAAACACCTGAAGCAATAGTACTTCAAAATTCTAATGACTTTAGGACTTATAATCACTCTTACTTTCACATGTTTTCTTTTTTAATTAAAATCTTTAAATTAATTTTTTTTTCATTTCTCCATGCATGTGACAGAATTTTTCAGTATAGCTGTTACCACTCACTTAAAAATCAACTGTTTGTTAATTTCATTAAGATTATCCAACATAGTAGTATGTGAAAGAAGCTTGCTAAATGAGTGAATGCTACATCAGTCAAAAATATGTTGTAGTGGAAAATTAATAGGATTTTACAAGTTGATATAAAAAAGTGCACTTAAAAATACAAACTCATTATTCCTCTTTTGTTTTGTGCTGCTTATCCAGAGAGAACAGAAGATAAATTAATAAAGGGTTATTTATACACAGTCTCAGAAAAACACCATATAAATGCATGTTTAATTTTCTGTGATATATTTACCTCATTTACTTTTAAAGATCTATTCTGCATAAACAAAAGTTAGTATTTAAAAAAAAACTCTTTACCCACATTAAAATATGTATCACATATGTGAGAAAAGCTAAATTATATCATGAATTCACCACAACCATACCTTTAGCTTCACTTAGAAAGAGAAGTCATAATATTTTTATTCTTCCCCATTTGTTAGTTCCTTTTAAGCTTATGATCACTCTGACCAACCAGACACCAATAAGTATCCATCTAGTAAATCCAGTGGGGTTACAAGTCTCTATTCAGCCACACAGTCAGAAAGAATCACATCTGATCATGCCAGTTTTTAGAAAAAATCACTCAGGTTGATTTGGTCTACTTTAGTTGGTTTAAGTGACAGATTTTATAAACTGTCAAAGTTTATAAAAAGTCAACAGACATTAGCACTCTCCCAGGGGATGTTTTTAAATTGGTTGAGTCCACTAACTGGATTGGAAAGTTAGTTTCTTGCAAAAGGAAAGACCAAAGGAACATAATCCTCAGTATTCCTATGTAAGAATATTCTCCTTATAGACAAGATTGGGGGTTTGGGTTACTTCCAAGTAATAAAACTGCATTTACCTTGTTAACTTTAGAATTTGTCTCCTTCTCCTGCTTTTTTGCATCTTCTTTTCGTTCTGGTTTTTGTGCTGCTGCAGGTTTCTCCTCTTCCTCTTCAGGTCGCTTCTTCTCAGGCTTCTGATCCCGAGTCTCCACAACTTTCGGAGTAGGCTTGGATATTCTTGGCGATCGCCTTAATGTGCGGCCAATGCTGACCTCTTCTGGTGGTGTTTCTGTCTTTCTCTTCCGACTAGAGATCCTGATTGTTAATTTAATTCCTTCTTTTTGTCTTTCAGAAGTTATTTCTTTATTCTCTGTTGCACAGGTTTCTTCTTCAGAAACTAGCTTATATTTAAATTTGCTTTTAGGTACTGGAGATTCCTTTTTACTCTCTGAGGAGTCCTCTAGATTTGATGCATGGGCATCATCTAATCTATCTGGCTCTGTTTTGGCAGCTTCTGGTTCTTCCTCTTGTTTTTCAGGGCTGGATTTTTCTTCTACTTTGCTCTCCTCAGGTAGAGCCATTTTACTATCAGAGTCCTCCTTTTCTGAAACAGGTTTCTCTACTGTAACAGGTGAAGTGGATGCAGGAGGTATCTCAGCAGCTTCTGGAAAGTCGTTTTTCTCCTCAGGCTCATCTTTACTTTTCAAAGTCTCTTCTTCAGCCAGTGCAAGCTTAGGCAGTTCTGCAGGAGCAGATGAATTTGGGGACATCTCTAGCTTCTCTGAACATTCTTTGGGTGGTGGCAGGCTGTCGTTTTTGAGATCAGTGGCTTGTTTCTCTGCAGTTGTTTTGGCACAGTCTTCAGGTTTTGAAGACTCTTCTGCTACTGTCTCAGTAGTTGTGCTGTCAAGGGACTCTTTTTCCACAGGACTAGATTCCTCCTTTGAAGGCACTTTCTGATTAGAAACCTCAGAGACCACAGTGCCGATCTCTTTCAGGACAGTTACTGCATTTTTCTCAATCTCACATGTTTTTATAATTTTACTAACAGAATTTAGAGAGTCTGATACTTTTTCCCCGCTTTTTCCATTTTTCTCTTTTAATGAGGGGCTGTCTTCCATAGCACTAGCAGAGTGTTCTGACTTACTATTTTGTATGACGCTCGGGGTTACTTTTTCACAGCTAACCTCTCCATTTACTAGAACTTTCCCATCAGGGCATAGAGCAGTAATGGTAGGGACTCTCTTAAAAGCTTCTTCTTCTGGTTTCCCTTCTTCCTTCAAGACATCCTTTGTTGGAGTAACACATTTACACATGGGCCCTTTTATTGGACTATCATAGTCATCTGTCAGTTTGATCTCTCGCTTTTTAAGTGGTATTTTTGCCTGCTGGTCATTTTTAAGTTTTTCACTTTCTTCCACAGATTTCTCCACAATTTCTTGTGGAGTTTTGACATTAACACAAAATTCTAGCCTCTCTGGCTCATGAACTGCTATTTTGTCCATACAGCTTTTTACTTCTTTTAGGTCTTTGGGTTCCGTTTTGTTTTCCTTCACCTCTACTTTAACAGGCTTGACATTTTCCTTAAAGGAGTCACTTTCTTCCTTGACAGTTTGCTTTTCTTCATTGTGTTCTGAAGGTTTCTCTAATTTCACTATCACTGGCAATTTTATAATTTCTTTTTCTTCCACTTTCTCAATTTTTAGTGCATTTTCGTCTTCTTTGACCACAGGAGGAGGAAGGCTTTCTGATTCCACTGACTGTTCCTCTACCTCCTCTTTTTCTTCTTTGATTTTCAATTGATTTTCTGTTGACAGAGAAAAACAGCTATGAAACAACCAAGGGACCTACAGGATTACAAAGAACTTCATCAAAACAGAGGCATACCTAAAAAACCCAACAGTCCAAGTCTTGCACAAAGGACTCTTCTCTCACTGAATTAGTAGAAATCTGGCTTGTCTAACACTGTCATTAAATAAGTGGGCTGACAATTTTTAGCTATAGAACCACTGTTCAATCTAGTTATATACCAAGATAAACCTAAATTTCAGAAGCTAAGAGCAGAACTCTAGGTTTATGCTTCTTTCAACACACATCTCAGTCCCTTCTTCAGTATTACCACAATACTTCCAGAGGATACACAAAACCTAGGCAGAGGCATGAAATCTCACTTGAGTCGCTAGGCTATTTCAGAAAACAGAACATGGTGTAAGATTCCATGGCCTTCAAGAGAAACTGCTCAGAGAAATGAGTCCCCTGTTTGTACATGTTTTTATTTCAAAAAGATATACTTAGCTATTGTAACAGTTCGGAGAAAAGACATTTAGCATTATGGCTTACGGCAAAACTCATCCAGGTTCTCTGGGTAATGACTAGATCTCGTACATGCAGACAACGTTCTACACTCAATTCATCTGCTGTTTTTAAAATAAGCAATGAATAGTAGTATATCCCAGGAAACCTGCAGAGCTTAAAGAATCAGAAGAATTCCACTTTGCTAACTCAGTTTTAGATCACTAGGGCTTGAAGTACAGTCCTAGCATTTAGAATAAACCATACAGCTATTTTGTCACTATGCACTTCAGCTTGTTATTTATTTTTACCACAGCCTCTTGAGACTTCAGGGTTTTGTATTTTACCAACCATTTTATATCAGCCAGAAATACAACTAATTAGAAAAAGTAAATACAATAGCACTGTATATACCAGAACAGCAGCTCCTGCCACCTGGAAGATGCTTTTGCAAGTGTGCAACAACTGCAAACAAAAAGATTTTACTTTTTTCCTTGTACTTCACTCCTCTCCAACTGAGCTAGTGTAATTTTTTTGCATGATGAGAGCTTCTGAAAGTGGTTAAAAATATACAGGGGAAATGTCATGACAGCTAGCAATTACATCAAAGAAATTAAGTGTTTTAGAATAGTGAGAAGGAATTCACAGATCTTGTATTTTCAAATACAAGGCACGTATTTATATAAATCTCAGTATCAATACAGTAAAGATGCATCTCTAAGGCTCCAGAAGTGGTAAGCTGCTTTAGAGGAGCGTATTTTGAAGGCTCGTGGCTGGCCTTTCCCCCTTCATAGAAGCGACCCTACTCAGAGTCCCTGTAAGTGCCTATGCAAAGATACCTGTCTGTAACAGTGAGAATGACGTATTTTCTGTGTCCATATTCTTCCACTTTCTCTTTATTTCTGTCTGTCTCAACTTTGTTCAGCCATTTCTTCCCATCACCTACTGCTTTCTCCCAAAATTCATTAAGGACCACCAGAATCCCAAAACCTCACCATACCAAAAATCAGCAGATGTTCTACAGTTCAACTCCCTGAACCAATCACAAAAAAATTCACACATACACAAAATGACTTGGTCAACGCACAAGCTCTCCTAACGCTACTAGAGTCAATCAGTCAGGCCAGTAAACATGTAAGCATTGGGTTAGGTTACCAGGTATTTGCATGTACTAGTTTAATGATACGTGAACAACTGTCAAAGCCAACAAGTGTCAGGGCTTCCAGCATATTTTCCCTACATCTTAGTAGGGCATTCAGTGCAATCCCTGGACTACAAGGAGGAAATGCTACAGTTTCTCAACTGAAAGGCTCTAAGGAATGTTCTTAGAACATACTGACAGCACTCAAATCACTGCTAATGTAAATAATTTCATTATTCATTACCTAACACAGGACATGGACTTGTAGGAGTGAGGCCATGAAGATGCTCAGAGGGCTGGAGCACCTCTGCTATGGAGACAGGCTGAGAGATAGGTTGTTCAGCCTGGAGAAGGATCTGGAAAGACCTTATAGCATCTCCCAGTACTTAAGGGAGTTGCTTACAAGACTTTTGACAAGGGCATGGAGTGACAGGACAAAGAGGAAGGACTTTAAGAGAAGGGAGATTGAGATTAGGTATTAGGAAAAAATTCTTCACCATAAGGGTGTGAGGCACATGTTGCCCAGCAAAGCTGTGGCTGCTGCATCCCTGGAAGTGTTCATGGTCAGGCTGGATGGGGCTCTGCACAAACTGATCCAGAGATGTTCCTGCTCATTGCAGGAAGGTTGGACTAGATGGCCTTTAAAGGTCCCTTCCAACCCAAACTATTCTATGATTCTGCAACTAATGCCTAGAGGTGTTCTTACACCAATACACAGCCTAATGCAAGTACTGAGCCAGGTGAGTGTGCCACAGGATTTGGGGAATTATCTACAGTAGGGACATTCAAAATGCTTTCAAATGGCTGCTCCTGAATTCAATGTAAAGCAAATGAACACCTGAAGAAGAGGTCTCAATCAGATGATTTAAGTTGGCCTGACTGAGATAAAAGCATGACCAGTACATGGAATTAATTCCACAGTATTGGTAACTAAGCAGGTTGTGTTGGCATTTACATGCAGAGTTAGATACTGGAAATGCCTTAGACTGAAAGACAATTCTTCTAGGTTTTGTCACAACTTACTGCCATTTCTACAATCATCTCTTAGTACTTCCACAACAACTACAGTTTTATCTAAATATTTATTTATTTCTTCCATTCCACACTGCTTGTTGCAAAGAAGGAGAACAGAAGAGTAATTCCTTCTCTCTGATACTCAAAACCAAGACAAGCCTTGGCTAATTCCACATATCAAATTAACTTCTACACATTTGCAGAAATACCTACTAACACATTGGAGTATTTAAATTTTGTTTCTGACTGTAAAAACATTTTCCTATATTTTAACAAAATAGTAGGACCAGGTAGTAAAACTGGGTAAAATTACTTGGGAAACAAGCTTATAGTTTTTCATGACCTGAAAGAAGACCAGATTCTTAAAAAGTCAAATACTTCAGGCTGACTGATACTTAGCAAAGCCAATGCACAAACCAGCAAGTCAGGCAAGTTACTAAATACATGCAATGACATGATAATAAGGAAGGAAAAAGCTTCTTGGCTTTGATCCTGGAGATCTGCTCCAACCTAAATAATTCTGTGATTTTAATAGCAACAAGATATTGGAAGCAGATAAGGACAGCCTCACTTCTACAATGCTTTAGCATTTTAAATTGCTTTAACTTCAGCTCATGTCTTCTTGAAATATCGTGTCAACTGTGAAATGTTTGAGGAAATAACCTATGTTTTTTTTTGTTTCTAACTCAAAAGCAAGAATAAACATCACACCCAATACTGTCTTGATTTCAATCATGGCATTGCACAAGCACATTTTTTGCTTTTCCAAATTTTAATGTTGCTAAAACAGGAAAAGTTTGGCAGCAGTTCAATGCCCCACAAAAACATACAATAATGAGCATTTAAAATATTATAAAAAATGTCCAGAAGAAAAGTTACTGAGAAAACATTTTTTTGCACAGCTCTCTTCCTATAAATAAATGTTTGAGACTAAATATGTACTGAAAAACCTTCAATTATATTCAGAATTTCAAAGTATTCAATATTTACTTGATTTACTTTTTTTAATCCTAATCGAACACGGTAACTTTTTGTAAAGCTAAAAATTCTAACATTGCCACAGCAAAACACTCAAAGTTTGAGAAAAGAAGGCAGAAAACCTTGTGCAGCTTCTTCTTCACCCTTTTTGGTGTCTTCTTCACCCTTTTTGGTGTCTTCCTCACCCTTTTTGGTGTCTTCCTCACCCTTTTTGGTGTCTTCCTCACCCTTTTTGGTGTCTTCATCTTCTATGCTTGGACTTTCACGTGATGAATTCTCCTGCTGAGAATTGTTGTTTTTCAACAGAGCAGGATCAATTTGTGCTTTCAAGAGCTCTAGGGTCTCGGCAAGCTCATTGCGGTTTCTAGAGGAGAAAAACACACTGTCTGATAAGCACTTACTTACCCCAAAGGGATTCATAAAGAATAAACAAACATTATCTGCTTAAATTAATTACTCTGAAAATATTAGAGTTATACAGTGAAAATATAAGCACAGTGAAAAGCTTGTCCCACAAGTGGCTGCACCTCTGCAGTCAGAAACCTTTCAATTTATCCATACCAAAATAAATTTATGCCTTTGGAAGGACCTTATCTGCTTACCTATCCCCTTAATTCCTGCTGGGTCTGCATCCAAGCTGCTACTATTATTCTGTTATTTACAATCCTCTTGTTAGCCATCACTGATTATTCTTTGTTATATTTTTTTTTCTCTCAGCAGAGAACAAGCTACTGCTCTCTGCTCATGCACCAAAGAAGCAACCGTATCATTTGAGTGAAATTTGCAAAAGCAAACAACAAATTAATTTAGGTACTTTTTGCAAGTGCTTATCCTAAACACATGCAACAAACAATACCAGGTTTCTAGAGAACTCCATCAACTCAAGTTACGACAGCAAAAAATGCTGGTGCACATCTGTATGAACATGAATCTGAGTGCGGTGTAACTCCTTATTTAAATTGCATATCCAACTATAAAAAAAACCCACGTTAATTTATAAAGAATTTGAGCCATGATTGAACAGTTGTTGCCGCCTTAATGGATTAGAATAATAAGGCTCTCACATCTCTTCTTCAAAGTCAGTGTTCAGCAATTTATTTTCCCCAGGTTTACAGAAAGAAAGGAAGCCTGGAACAATCCCAGTATGTGGAGTTTCATGGGCTTTAAAACCATTTCAGGTTTCTTAATGTATTAATGTGTTTTTTTGCTGTGAGTGTGGAGTGTTAGAACCTTCCCAGCAGACCCCTGGTTTCTTCTTTTGGCAATGAATTTTGGAGTCTATAATGCATAGAAGAGGTGGATGATGCATGGATCTGCTCTTGATCTGTTTGTTTGGATACATTTACTTTATTCCCCCACAACAGCTGTCTACATGTAACTCACAGTAATGCTTATCATTTTACGGCCCATTGATAGTGGTTTAAACACTTTTGTATGACTCCCTCAGTTACTGAAGTCATGGCAATATAAATAACCTGCAGATAGTTTGGGTTGGAAGGGACCTTCAAAGACCACCCATTTCCAACTTCCCTGCCATGGGCAGGGACATCTACAAGACCAAGTTGCTCAAAGCCCTATCAAATCTGGCCTTGAACACTTCCTGGGATGGAGCAGACACAGCTTCTCTGAGCAACCTGTGCTGCTGCCTCACCACTCACACAGAATTTCTCTGTAATATCAAATCTAAACTTGCCCCTTATCAGTCTGAAGCCATTCCCCCTTGTCCTGTCACTACATGCCTCTTTAATAAATCACTCTCCCCTCTTCCTGAGTCCCTTTAGGTACTAGAAAGGGCTCTGAGTTCTCCCTGTATTCTTTTCTTCTCCTGGCTGGACAATCCCAAGTCTCTCAGCCTGTCTTCATAGAGAGGGGCTCCAGCCCTCTGAGCATCTCCTTGGCCTCCTCTGGATTCCTTCCAACAGTAGTAATTGCAATATAGTTTCTCCAAGAACAAATCTGTCCACTTGTAGCTTTTGTAACAAAGCTGAAGTTAAAGAAGCTAGAGTGTTCCATTTTCTAAGGCATTTAGCTGGCCAGCAAGCAACATGGAGCCATCATCCTCAAGACAGTCTTCTCTTGCTACCCTTTCTATATATTCATCGTAGCTTGAACTAGCAGGAAACAAAATGTGATGGTTGCTACCAACAAATCTGTGAGTTATTTCTGTACATGATTTTTCACTAGAACATAGATGCCAATGCAGAAAATCCCACTGTCATGAATCCTACTGTGTGAGAAATGAAGATTTTTTGAAATATATTTCTGAGACTGAATCAAAAATAGCTAAAACCTCCCAAAATAAAAAGAAGGAATACCTAACAATGCACTTCCATGTGGATCCATCCTGGTCATCCTGTTCTTCTATGTACATCCTGACATTATGCTCTTGATCCAGTTGATACCAATACATGAGGCCGTCTTTGTCCCGACCAATGGGCTGCAGACGCATGGCATCAGCATCCTCCTCGTTAATGATATTCTTAAACTTTAGATTGTCATCAAATTGACATTCACAGAGATACTGAAAAAGAAGAAAGACTGGTAAGGTATCAAAAATATAAACAGAAATAAGAAAATCAGCTCATTTCATTTCAGTGTGATTTAGAACTTGTTTTTAGGCTGTAGCGATCAGTTTTTTCCAGACCATGTTGTTTTAAAATGAGATACAAGGGTTTGGGTTGGTTTTGGTTTTTTTTAACCTGTTACAGCTTACAAGGTTTATTGTCAACTTGTTTTACACAGTACAAATTATCTCATGCTACAATAGAACCCATACATAACTTGGAACCAACACTAACAATTTTGTCAAGGCCGCAGAAAATGAGTCCCATTTTGCCTTTAGAATTCAGCAAGGTAAAAAACACATTTTAAAGCGTGTATTGCACAGGCAAAAAGCTCTTGACAAAACAGTAAGCATGAGATTATTTTCATACAAAGTGTGAAAAATACGCAAACAAAGTGTTACATGCAGTTTGGGCCCATCCCACTACAATGAATAATAAATACTATGTCTGATCCAAGATCAGCTCTATATTTAATATATGCACTTATGGTTCAATCAAGCCAAATTTGCAAGACCTTCAAGTGAGTGAGGAAGCAGTAATTTGGAACCTTAGCTGATGAATGTGTACCTTCAGAATCCCCAGTTTGCATTCAACACTCATTTCTAGGTATCCTTTTTTTTCCATCTCCCAAGCCCAAGTGCTGTTGAATTCTTGACATATCTGTTAAAAATGAAATAAGCAGATTTCTAAGGTTAAGAGAAAAAATCAACTTTACATATTTTTATTACTAGTACCTTACTACAGTAATTAACTACACATGATCTCTTTGGGATTGCAGTCAGAAAGTCCTACAGAAAAACAAAAAGTAAAACTGAAGCACTGTTGAATTTTCATGAAGAGGAGATCGTCGAGGTCCTGATCACCACCACATTCTCTGAACATCCTAAATTTGCATGACTCTGGAATGGGAGGGTATTATTGTCTTTGCTGTGCACATACCTCACATTTTTCTATTTCTGTCTATTTAGAATATAAATTCTCTCAAGTAGACACAACTTCCTATTCTATCTCTTTGCAGCACTCAGCAGACAAGTTGCCAGGGTCTCTTGGGGCTCCCTAAGTCCTTCAACTTTATGGCAGATAACAAATGCAACTGTTACTCACTCCACACTGTGGAACTATCATTCTTTACAAAATATCTTGACCTTCAAGCTGCTTGACAAGTATTTTAAAATATTTTAACCACATCAATTCACTATTCAGCCACACCAATATGGGGGAAAAGAATCCTATCACCAGAAAAAGCAGCAGTAGAGAAATAGATTGAACCAGCATGAGCTCCAATAATAAAGGTGAAGAAGAAATTCCCTCTCCTCCTAAACAACTCAGACGTGCTTAAGACAACTCTCATGAAGAGATAAGCTGCTCATCAATTGAGGACACATGGTGGGATCTCCAGTCAGTGAGGCTATTCCAGTGGAAATATCCATGATGAGGCAAAAGCTGATCATAGCTACACATCCAGTTGGAATTATTTTGAAGTGTCACTGCTCTTCAGTCTGCAAGGCTGGACTCAAGCAAAACAGTGCAGTCTCCCAATCAGGAAATTATTATAAAGTGTAAGACACAGTTAACCAAGCTGCTTAGCAATCTTCCAATCACATCTGAATACAGCTTTCTCTGGAAACAGCAGCAAAATAATCCTAAATTTCACCCACCAAAAATACAGGTTAAATGACTCATAATGTACAACTCCACCCAGGCTCCAACCAAGCAAAGTGGCTGCTACCCCTCCCCTGTCCCCAAAGCCATACTACCAACCCTCCACCACCCCTAGTACTGACACCATTTCTCAGGTGGCACAAGGGTAAGCCTGCAGTTAGGTCAGCTCAGCCAAACCGTAAATCATACTTTGACTTTAAGCTGTGACCTACAGAGAACGGAGACAAGCACTCTGGTCACAAGGGCTCCTGCTGAAGAGCAGGTTTTCCTGCTCTGAGGTTAAGGAATATTACACAGGGACTTCTCTGATGCCGAGCCAAAGCTCACAGCAGGAGACAATCACTGCTCGCTCACAAAATGAGGCTACTCCCCTTTCTCTCTCCTTTTCAACTATGTAATATGAAAAACACTGGGAAATTGTGTATCAAAACCCTTGCTCAGGGCATATGCCAGTTGCTGTTCATTACTTACTCATTAAGTATGAGAGCAATAATAAGAAGCTTCATGTGCTACGAAGTGTGTGACTGTCAAAGCAAAAGCTTTGAGACATCAGAGCTGATGAAGCATCTGTTCAAACTGAAATGACTACATTTTGACAATTAAAAACCAGATAATTGTGCTTTCTCCTGACAAGTACTGTCACAACCCTGAACTACAGAGCTCACTGATCCAGGCTCTGCTGTGAAATCTTAGTCTCTGCCTTCCCAGAGAGGATGCTTCACACTGATCACAAAGCTGCTGCTTGCAGGAACTGCTGGATTTTGCATGCTAAGGTCAGTACCTTTCCACCCTGCAAGAAATGCTATAACGTTTCTCTCAAGTAATTCCAAAGCAGCTATGATGGCATCCAACAACACAACACATTCCAAGTGTTCACTTTAAACAAGGAAAACAGGAACATGAAAGACGAGTCTCCTTGACAGAGGAGTCTCCATCATGGGACTATAGACACGTGAATTCTAACAATGAGAAATGTGTTCAGAATTACTGAAGAACCGAAGAAGTATAGATTTTGGGTTGAAGGTTTCAGATGGACTAGTGCAGAGATATCTTCTCTGTATAAAAATGTAAGTTACATTTGACAATAGTTGAACAAAACACTTTGTCAGGAGACAGTGCAATGTGACCTCACTACATGCTTCTCAAAATCAGCTAAACTAGACACTTCCTCTTAGTTGCTGGAATGCTTAGGACCAGGCATTTTCTTTCCTCAGCCATACATGACCATAAAACATGCCTTGTGCAGAGGAGGAAAGTCAGACTCATAGAGGCCTACAGCCATTTTCTTCCATAAAAGACTAGTGCACATGCTGGTGGATCCAGCCTGGGTGGTTCACCACCAGAAGAGGGAAGGGAAAGAACTCTCAACTACCATGTTCACTTCCTATCCCAAAATATATCCATCTGTCAAAACACTAGCCACAGTATAGAAACAATTTTTATAATACTCTTTATATGCACAACAGTCAAGTGAGGCACATTTTATAATTAGTTGGTATATAAACAAAATATAATATATACATGCACACATTTAATATTAAATTTACATTTTAATATAAATTTATATTATAATATAAATTTAAGTATATTATATAAATAATATAAAAATATCTATAATTTTATTTAATTTTATTATTAAATTAATATTAAGAGCATGCAAGTCTGAATGTCCTCCACTAAAGTTTCTGCCTAAATAAGAACATCTAGAATATATCAAGCCCTGTTTTATCAAAGCAACACATTACTAGTTTCTAACAAAGGAAAAACAGGTCAACTTTGCCTCTTAGTGTCATCAATAATATGTGCAACAATACCGCAGGCATCAAGGAAAAATGCTCTCAGTGGTTCCACGTCTTTTCAGTTTTTCCTGGCTTTTGTGGCATTTCCCAATACTCTTCCTTGCTTTTCTAAATTAATCATATTCCTTTAAAACGGGGACAATATTAGCATACCTTCCTAATTAGTTATATTCAAATTCCTTTGTTCTTCAAGGTTCCTTTGAACCACTGGCCAGAATAAGCTTCAAGCTAGCTCTGGAGACTATTAAATGAAGTAGAATTTATTAACACTTACTTGGTCTTAACAGGGGTGTGAGGGAGGGTTTCCTTACTGCTTCCCTGAAGAAGAATTTCCAAACTGCTTTGAAGAAGGTTTTCCAAACTATTCCCTCAAACTTGTTTTATCGCCCTGCTTTCTGCTTACCACACAACTGGTAAGTGGCTCCAGTGGGGTACATAATATCACGAGTCAGAGTTGGGTTTTCTCAGTTTGCTGCAATGGTTTTTGGGTTTATTAAGGAATTTAACACAATTCAGTAACCACAGTACTTGGTAATACACAAAGTACACACAAGTTATATAAGTCATTACATTACTATTTTTAAAAATTATCACCAATGCTTTACAATTGGTTAACAGGTAAGAATTAACAAAGGCCCTTTAGCAGGTTATTTCTCAACGCATTCCCAGCCCCAAAAACATCATCATCTTAAAGGGTACACAAATCTCAAGACAAAGTCATACATATGTAGAGCTTATAGACAGCATTTAAGGGGGAGATCTGCAGCTGGATTTGCCAAGTGCTATTATTTGTACGGTTGCTATTACCATGATGCTGTATTTCTACGCAAGATGTGACCACGACTGTACAGACAATAACAATATTACAATTCTGTGGATTAAAAGACACATGAAACATATCCAGAGGGGTCATGGTAACCTATTAATTTTGACTATCTATATAGTTTCTTTTTTTTAAGCAGAGTAAATTATTTAAACTGGAAACTATTTGTATGTAAAGTATCAACAAAGACACAGCTGCAATTAAAATACCAAGACAGAATTATGTAAAACAATAGGATGCTCTATTTTTACTGATGCATAATTACATTTTCATCTTAGCTGTGCCATCCTGAGCATGAAGATATAAATCACTGCAATACTTTCTTTTATTATCAACACGTGCTACAAGACCTCTGTATGGTTCTTGTATGAATAGCAGCCAAATCACAGTAATTAAATCATATTTGGACAAGTGACATACAAATGAACTGCTACTGTATAAATCTCTGCTCAATTTAGCCCATTTGCAGGCTTCTAAATCTTCTTTATTTAGGGTCTTAGTACCCAAGAAAGTATTTTCCTGCCAATTATGGGGGTGGACATTCTTTCACATGCAGAAGATGGAGGTTATTTTCAGAGACTTTATTCCACAAGCCTAGGCAGCCTGCAAGTTAAGCTGGGATCTGATGCACGCGTGTCAATGCTAGCACAGCCCAAGGCTCCTGTAGCTCGTATTAGGGCTTGCTCACACAACTGCTCATCACAACCATATTCCAGCATCGCAGAATAATACAACATGCATATTGTACCTTGATCAAGTATTTTTCCCATCTGTCTGCTGTGACAGACTTCCCAATCTTTCTCATCAGTTTCAAGTGAAGCTCCACCAATTCTTTTGGTACTGCAATATTGAGACAGAGAGAAAGAAAAATACAAAAAGAAGTCATTAAGTCTGGTGCAAATATTCTTCAATGCTAAACACTGATAACACTGAAACACTGTGACAAATTAAGACATTTTAATAAAACAGAGCCTTCAAGCCTGCTGAAGAGCTGCCATGTGACTGAGAAATGGAGAAAGGTTAATTTAATTATGAGTCCTTTTGCTTAGATTTACATTTAGGATAATCATCACCCTTCAATTCAAGGATATAGAAGTCAGTGATAAACCTGTGGAAATTCTGGCAGTGTTAAAACCACAACTGTACAGGAACTACTCCAGTCAAACACCTACAAAAATAATACTGCAAGCATCACACCTGCAGCTGCCTCCAGAAACCCCAAAGACATATTCTGCACCATGCCTGGAATATCACTGGATCCAAACTATTTTTTCACCAGGTGCATGGTATGGAAGTAACGTTCCTGAAACTCTGTATTCACAGACATAGCTTTGCTATACACTTACTCTTGTACTGGAGGGACAGAGAGGTACAAGATATGGCGCTTGAGGAACGGTTGCCAGAAGTGCTGCGGAGTACAGCTGCACAACTGCTGACACAAAATCAAAGTTTTCCAACCAAATTTATGTATTTCTTAGTGTACACTCCTCAGAAACAATTTAAGCAGCTTGTCTCAGCTCACAGCTGTGATTTATAAATCAATTTGGCACCACCAAGTGGCAAATTTGCAGAACATTTATTTTATAAGTTAATGAGTATCATAACTTCTAAAAAGTATGTAATTGATAATTATTAATGCAACTCTGAATGCCCAGTGACATTAGCTTTCTCATCTGTAATTTGTTGAGGAAAATGTCAAAAATTAACTTGTCAAGTATTTTTGTTTCTCTACTCTGCATACAATTTTATGTTCTAAAAGCATTTTCAGCACTCCAAGCACATACACATTGAAAGCTTTAAACCCCCAAAATTTTTATTCTCACAATTTATGATTTTTCTGCTTATTTGACACAGGAAAAACAACTCAGACATCAAATATCTTTGTTCTAAACTAGATATCATTGAGATGGTTGCTCTTTTACTCATTTTTACATTACTTGTGTGAAAATTTTCAATGCCTAATTTGAATTCACCCAACATTTGTCTTTCCATCAAGTGCCTCGATTTTCAGGTGGATACACTGAGTTGCTAAAAAATCAGTTTGACAAAAATGCTTGTATTGTTTCAGAAATAAAGAAATTTTATATGCAAACTCCTTTGATAAATAAGTAAATATAAAAAGTACCAGCCTGGTACCCTCAAAGAAACCTCTTCTCAGTGTAGATAATTCATAAGCAACAACTTGTTGGCTGCCTTGCCTGACTTGTTCTCTTTCATTCCATTTGCATATAATATTTCCATTACATACTGAAGACACCTAGTACCTCTCCTTGCTTTTCCTGAAAACTGATGATTTTCATGATTTTGGACTAACACCTATTTTAAAAAGAAAAAGATCAAAAGTCTTAACCCCAATAAGTGCCAAGAAGCTGGCACTAACAAAATTAAGCACAAAACACTTTATACACATGAGCAATTCTATCCATTCTATTCCATCTATGTTAAGTCATACAACTAAACCTCTGCTTGTGTTTTTGTGACACAGAACTGAGCCAGAGTATTCAAAATCTTGCTAAATCAGAGCTTTTGTTAAGCATCCTTTTTTGTTTGTTTTTAATCAGACCTCTTTTTATGGGTACATACTGATAGGAATCCTAGTTTAAAGAAGCACAAGTGATTTGTTTCAAATAATCAAATTCCCAGTCGACAAAAAAAAAAACCTGCTAGAGCTTTACTGTTGACAAAAATTTTAAAAATTGGACTAATAGCGTACTCTTGGGTCAGCACATCCTGAGTTGTGTCAGTATCTACAGAAACTTCACTTTTCTCAGTTTCAGCATTTCAGCTCTTGTATTTCCAGGATCTGCAGGATGTATCAATGTGATTACTTTTACAGACTTCACAAAACACTTCACGTCCATTCTCCGTTTACTACCCTTTCAAGATGCTTTTCATGTATTACACAATATTAATGACTGGATTTCTAGGCTGGCTTTTTGCCTCTTCCCTTCACTGAGAGGAATCCCACAGTAACCTCCTGGTGTAATGAAGGAGGCAGGAGGTTTGGAGAAGAAACTGATGTCTAGTTTGCTCTCTAGGGAGTGTGTGGAGTGCAGCCTGATCAGCCATGTGCCCCAACAACCACAGGAGCAGAAGCCTACAGGACTGAGAAACAAACTCTGTATTAAATCCAAAGTAACTGTAAATAAGGATTACAGTATGTACACCTGACTTACCAAAAAACACCAGCTAAGGGAGATAGCCTAGGAAGGCTAAAGAGTGGTGGCAAATCTCTCCCAGAGCACTTAGCGGGCAGGGAGTAAAGCTGCACTAGTAAACACAACTTCAGTCCTCTCAGAAATGCATTGAACCTGCATAACTATAAATTAACTTACTTTTGCTCAGACTACAGAGAATTCCTTAAAAGCGTTCATTGAATTGAGACATCAGTACGGATCATTTTTACAACACTGTTCTACCCTACGTGTAAGAGAAAGAACATAACACCAAAGAGAATGGACATAACATAACTATTTTGGGTTGTTTCAGCAATTAACAACTGTAGACTACTATCTCCTTTGCAAAATTTCATCTCCATTCATGTGAGACGTGCATCACTCATTTCAGGAACTTGTATAAGAATGTTCTGCATTTTTAAAAATTTCACATAAGGGAAGGAACAATGCACAGCGTCCTTCTTGTGTAATTGCCATTGTGTGTGAGGTTTTGGTCAAAAAAGCTTGATGGAACATATCAAAAAGAACCCTCTAAATCTGAATTATTTTCTCCAACTTTTATGAAACTTTGATCTCTCTGGAGAGCAATAAGGAGTTCTCTAGAACATTCTCGGAATATGCTTACACAGTGGAGAAAACACCAGGACTGTGAACAGGGCTAATAGCATTTGTGCAGCACTTATATAAAATAACTGTTTCAAAGAATTGGCTATAATTAAAGCATGGTGCATTCTGCTGGATATTCAAAAATACATACTTTGCATGGGAAGAAGCCATAAGCCAGGAAGAATGAGTCACTATATACAATTATAAGACTTCTGGTGGAGTTCAGCCCATTTGTTAAGCCCTGTACCTTCCTGGAGGGCAGGTTGTCATACGGACCTTTGAACACTATTCTGTCTACTCCGGCATTTCAAGGAGCATCCTATACATACATCAGTGACATGTCTAATATTGGGAAAATCAGAATAATTGAAATGGAAGAGAAAGCATATAAATATGTGAAAACCCCATCATCTGGCTAGAAAAGCTGTAACTTCCAAACACCTACAACACCACAGATTAAAGACAACTTTGCATGTAACCATAACCCCATTTCACCCCTATTTATTTTCCCTGCCAAAATGAAAAGGCTTACAACTCGCCTAAAAAAGCCTGAAACAGCGGATGAAAACAGAAAACATTACAAAGTCCTGAGTCCACATGGAGGATGGGGGAAATCTGTTATTTTGAAAATTATTATAAACAAAAAATCCTTGGTATCAGAGCAGATCTGGAGTGCTGGACACAGACAGGAGGATCAGAATCATCATGTACACAGAGCACCTGATATTGATGTGGATTGCAAAGCCTATGCCTACTGTTCTCCTTCAGGGACCCAGTAAGGGAACACTGAACTCTTAGTGCTGGGGGGACCTGGGGTGAAAGGAACAAAAAATAAAACTCTGGGACGCAAAGGCCGCTGGCAGTTTTCATGCTTCATGAACACAAACAGGTCTTCCCAGTTACACTAGTAAACCATTTTCCATGCTAACTTGTTTTGGCAAGTGGAGGAAATAAAATGACTCATAAGACATATATGGCAAGTATTTCCATTAACCATTATGTTCTTTTCCATTCTTCTGCCTTGACCAAAATTACCTCTGCATGCCATGACTGCACTGTCAAGTAACACCCCACTGAGCAAGAGGACAGCTGAAATTGATGAGATCATTGATGATCTCCCACCTCCTTTCTGCTAAGGGATGGTAGCTCTCAGCAACCTGCACACAGCTGATGTGGATTAGCTACACTGCACAGAGTTTAATGGCAAACAGAAGATGGTTTCCACCCTGTTCAAACTGCTCTGCTGTCAGTACTAGAAGGAGCTGTCCTGGAAGCACAGGCAAAGGCAAGAGCATCTCCTCAGACATCAGGAAAGAGTCAGTACGTGGCCACTGTGGAACAGGCTGCGCAGAGAAGCTGTGAATGCCCTACCCATACAAGTGTTCAAGGACAGGTTGAATAGGGCTTGGAGGAGTGTGGTCTAGAGAGGGTGTCCCAGCCCACAGCATGGTGGCTGGAATGATCTTTAGGGTCCCTTCCAACCCAAACCATTCCATGGTAATTTTCCACTTAGCCCAACACACACTAACCACGCAGTTAATTCCCTTTACAGACAGATCCTTAGGCATAAATTTGCTTACAACCAGTCAGCTGCATCTTTTACAAAAGGCAGAAGAGTCCCCAACTGACAAGTGACCACATTTCCAGCATCTTTAATACTCTCCTTCATTTCTGTGTGAAGTCTGAAGTCCCACTAGCAGTCTGAGGCAGCAAACATCTTGTCTTCTAGACTAGTTTTAACCAAAGAGAAATCTCTCATCTGTTTCATTAAACAACTAGCAAACGCTGACTAAAAGAAAGGGAATAGTATCTCCCCTTTGGCACCACCATTGCTTTATAACAAATATTCTTCTTGAAGAACTATCTAATTTGTTTCTTAACTCAGTATAAGGGAAATGTGAGATTAATTTAGTTATTCATAGAAATTTATAGATCACAGAGAAAAATGGCAGCCTTGGTATGAACTTGGCATGATAAATAAATGGAAAGACAAAACCCCCTAGTTTGAAACCAGACAAGAAATTTCAGTAAACCTCTGATAAAAAAATGTGGC